TATTAAGAAACAATGTTAAAAATTACTCTTCTCGAAAAACAAAACAAAATACTTTAATTTAAATAGTGACTATGTCACTTGAAATATTTCTTTTTCGGCAAATAATGTGTAAATGATTGTTAATTTAAAAAAGATCATTACATTTTTTCTTTTGTTAAGTTTGTACGTTCAAGTTTGTTTTGCTTATTTAAAAATGATAATTATATTTTGAGGGCAACTAAAAACCTGGCCACAAAGTTAAATTTGTGAGTTATTCAAGTTGGTGGTTAAACGCGTCAATATTAACATATATTTTTTTTTTTTTTTTTTTGATGTACTTACAATACTTATTTGTTTCAAAACTTTAAAATTGTATTTGTTTACCTTACAAAATATTTTGTACATCATGTGTTAGGTTTTTGTTTCAGTTATATTTATGTGTAACTCATCTGTAATAAACTGATTTGATAACAGATAATTTCACGAAACTATATAACCTAAATTGTTTTGTTATTTTCTTTACTTCATGTCCATTATAAGTTATAACTAACAAGTTTTGACAAATTAGTTAAAACAAAAATAATATTTTGTATTATTTTGCTAAACTGGTTTTAAGAAATTGAAAGATAAAGTGTATCTAGACTATTATTAAAAAAAAAAAAATTGTTGACTGTTTATTAAAATTTGCAAAAAAGTAAATTGTATCTGAAATAAATGCTTAATATTTCTAAGTATTTCAATTATAGTGTATAAAATGCATTGTACCTATATCATAAAAAGTCCTTAATTATATAGCTGATATTAAATTAAACCATTATAATTTAATTAGTGGTAACTTTAATAACAAAAATCTTTGTATACCTATCTAGTTCCTTGTAGGTTTCATTTTTTTATGTCACATCAAATTCATTTTATTTTTTTTATTAAATATATTTGTAATCTATTAAATTAATTTGATTGGGAAATATTTTTCATTTTATAAAAAAAAAACTTTTTTTGAATGTATTGATTTCACAATTGCCAATTGGTCCCCAAGTTTAAATTTAGTATATTGTCGTTTTTTGCATATTAATATTTCAAACTTGTTGCACTCAGTAATTTTTCATAGACGCTTCCTGTGCCCCTGTAAGAAATTGTAAGTACTCAGTGAAAGCCAGGTACGGCAGGTACCTACTATCTACTAGTTACTATATTTTACTGGTGATCAATCGATCGTTAAAAGCAACGAAGTTCTAAAAATAGTAAAATCAATACAATACGTTATAATAGTATCACAGAAAAAAATTTAATTTAAATTTTTACGTAGTATATAGCAGTGATACTATTTTCAATGATTAGGTATTTATCAATTTTTAAATGGTTAGGACCTTATACGGTCTATGTGTAAAAATATACATTTAGCCAGTGATAACAAATTGTACCCTATGCTTATTGCTTACTTCTATTGGCGGGAAACATGAGTTTTTGGGACATGGTTGTATTCAGATTACAAAAACAAGATTGGTCTTTGTTCAAGTGTCAGTGCCATGCTCCGTCTAGGATTGTGTTAGAGAGAAAGGGAAAACTTACGAATTGTCTTGTTTGCACACAAGTAAACAATTATTATCACTCATTAGTCATTATTTATATTCATTTATTTTTCGTAAAAACCATTGTGATATAGCTATGACAAAACAATATAGGTGCTATAATAATAAATAATTTAATATTGAATTTTTTTTTTTTGAGAGGTTTTCAGTCCTTATGCAGAGCCCCTCCTTCCTTAGGCGAACCGTTGGTAAGTACACATATGCTATTTATAAAATAATTTAGTAGGTATCAATTGTCATTGTGGCTATGAATTAGGCACGAGCTTATAATATAGATATAAGGCTATAATTCACCCAAGACCATAGACAATACTCGAGTGTGAAAGCTGGAGCTGTATACTCCACAGCTGACGTGTTTTCGTACGCTACGTTCTCCGTTGGATTCAATAATATTTGTTGTTTTATAAAAAAGTAACTGTAGTCGTAGGAAACGCTGTTTGTCGAGTTTTTATTCTTGACGAAAAACGCGTTCTGGCACTGGGGTTGCAATTGAATCCAATTGAAGTTACGACGCGTACGGAGCGTGTTGGAAAAAGCTGTATTCTGTTTAGTCCCGTACCAACATTTATTTTTACACTTGAATATTATTCGTGAAATTTATGTTGTGCTGTACCTAGAGGGAAAGAAATATTATGTGTCTTAATGTTATAATTTGCATGAAGATTATCCATACCACGTAAGTTTTTGAAGTATTTTATAGTTTAAAATATTTATAACGTGTTTAATTTTAATATCTAAAATTTACAAATTTAATACAAAATTCTTTATAATTCTTTTTAAATGGATTTTTTTTTAAATGTAGTGTAAAGTCATATTTATTTATTACGGATCTAGGATCAATTACAAAATAAAATGCTGTATAAGATTTACAAAACTTATAGAATTGTAATAACAGGTTGAACAAAGAAAAAATTAAAACATTACATGAGGATCAATAAAAAATAATAATAACAAAAATAACAAAATAAAAATAATGTGTAAGAGAGTATAATTAATATTTAACAATAAAATTTATGAAAAATAAAAAAATAAAATTAGTAGGTACCTATTGGTCTTATTAACAAAGTTACCATTAAGTAATAGATTATTAATAAGGGAGTTAAATAGGTATGTAATTGAGGGAAGAATTTTAGGTATCATATAAAATTTTGTATTATGGGTATTAATTTTAAAGTTTATTAAATTTAATAAATAAGAATTATCTATGTAATTGTTCAATAACATTTAAAAATGTACTTCTGTTATCGTAATCAGAATATAAGGTGTCCTCGAAATATTGGATTTAAGATTGGTAAAGCGAAAAATTTGTTTTAAATCGTTTTAACGTGATTAGAAATTAAAATACCATTGGAGTTCTAAATTATAGTATCATATTTTCAGACCTGACAATGAAGATGAAAAAACATTTAAAGATGAAAGAATCGTTAAAAAAAAATTTTGCATAATGTGACTTAAGCATAGATAATTTTTTATTTTTAATAAAAATAATATGAGGAGAGAATAATAGTTTACTGTCAAGATGAATGCTATATTTTTAAACTAGATTAGTGTCAGTAAGAATAATATAATTTAGATTTTAGATCATATAGTTAAAAATTAGGCTAGTCTGTTTCTTAGAGAAATAGGTAACTGTTTGACATTTATTTATATTTAAGAAAAGACCATTAAGTATATGCATCTAATTGCCATCTATAGTTATTAAAGTATATTGAATCAATCTGAAGATCATCGGCATCAAACAGTAAATTTATGACATTATATTATATTTTCGTATCGTCAGTAAAAATTAAAGTAGGTATTAAAATAGTTTATAGAATAAATAATATCATTTATAAATAAATTAAACAGAAAAGGAGAAAGATGATCACGTTGAGAAACATTCGAGGCGAGGTATTCACTTCAGATTCATAAGTTTTTATTTTCTCAAATTGCGATCGTTGAGAAATAAAGGAAGCAAAACAAGTCAAAAATAAATTGGAGAAGCCAATTTATTTCATATTTTATAGACTTTTGAAGTTCTAATTGGATATTTAAACATAAAATAATGTGGAGAGAAGACACCGAGTTACGTGTATATATTATAAATAATTTCAGTTTTTCTGTGAGGTATTTTAACGATTTCATAATTTTAGATTCTGAGACCTGAGTGATGAATATACTTATTTTATAACAACAGTTTAAAAGTAGTAGAAAAATTTTTTAATATTTTATTTTAAAAGTGGTTAGGTATTCATGGAAATTATTAGTACCTAAATTGAATCTATATTTGGTACGTTTGAGTTTTGAGCCTATCTACTTAGCTTACCTATTTATTTATTATTTATGTTTTGCTTCAGTTGAAATATTCTTAATTTTTTTTTAATCAAAGTTAGTATAGTATTTTTTCAGGATATCGAACTTAACCATATAATTTAACTTTTATATACAATAACTATTACATAATTTTATATTTATATAGAATATCTATTAGCCTAAATGAAAAATATAACACAGTCACATAGAAAATTATATCAAATTATAATAATTAATAACTGTTTTATTATTCATATTTAATGATAATCCTAAAGCATTAGATTTTTGTGAGTAGAAATAGAATTTTTGTTCTATTATATGCATTATGTATGACATAGAAAAAACCGTTAAAAAAACCTCAACTCATGGCAGGAAAAACGCTAAAAAGTTCAAACGTTCGGTTATTTTATTAGTACACTATTGGATGTAAAAAAAAATTATTCGGCGTAAACGATATTAAATCTGTTGATACACATTACACTAGTGTCTATAACGCCCAAACGTTGCACTTATAATACTGTAGTAACTATACCTATTCGGCTATTCCTATTAATTACGGGATGTACCGCATAGACGGTATCCGGAAATATGACTATAGAAATAAAATTCCGCGCGAGTGCCACTTATTTTTATTGATGGAAATTCAAAAATCTAGATCGATTTGAGTGGGATAGGCAAAGTTTATATCATTTATATCACTGATGCGGTTCCGTCGAAATTTCGTTACAAAAATTAACGAAACGGAGAACCGTATCGTTATGATCTTCGGCAGTTTTCACTGTGGGCTTATTTGTTGTAAAATGAATTTTTTTCATGGGACTTTTTTTCCCACGATCTGCCGCGTACAACTTTGCAAGTCTATACCGTTGCAGACGTTTCAGTGGCGTGGTCGTGTACGAATCGTATAAACACGTCGTGCATTGCCTATAGCGGTCAAGTGGCGTCTGTATGTAATTCAATTTTCTCGGATGTCCGAGGAAACGCGCATACCTCGCTAAATTATACCGATCACCTGACCGCCACCGCGATCGCCTACATTATAGTTGCACTTTCCGCCGCACGGCGCCGGGCCAACGCGCTTTGACGTCACGGACGCGCGCCGGCGGGGACGACGACGGGCATACGCGAAAGCGGTACCGGCGCGCGCGTCAGCCGGCCACCGCAGAGCACTGCCGGTGATCCGCCGCGCCTCAGCGCATTCATAATATCATTACGGTCCCGTCCTGGTCCCACCGCTGCCGCCGCCGCCGCCGCAACCGCCGCCGACGCTTTACACACCGGCCGCTCATGCCGGGCGACATTGTCGCAATCACGTCACATTAGAATAGCGTAATATCGTTACAATATCGTGTACAATATAGCGACTGCCGTCATGCGGATCGTGTCGGACTATCGCCGTAGCACCGGCGGTAGCAGTAGCGCCGCGTCGTCCGCGTCGCGTATTCCCGCGACCACCGGACGTTCGATTGCCGCCGTCCCCCGCAACGGGGCGACGTAATAACTGCTTCACCGCGGATCCACACCACCGGCCACCGGCGACACGCGACGATGGACTGCAAACCGGACACGATCGGGTTCTATACCATCGACCGGCGCATCGGCAAAGGCAACTTTGCCGAGGTCCGGTTGGCCACGCACCGGCTGGTCAGGAGCGAGGCAAGTGGACAATATAAGCACATCACTTTACACGCGCGTTTGTTCCGTACTCATGCGATACCGTTATAAGACGACGACGACGACGATGATGACGATAATGATGATGATGATGATGATAATAATAATAATAATAATAATAAATAATAATTATAACAAAATGTCACGATTAGGCGAGGTACTTACTCTACATTTCGACGGTTATCCGTACACCGTCGCAAATGTGTAGGTACATTTTTGATTTTTGAGTGGTGTTTTTTGTGGGGAGAGGGTCGAGGGAGACTGAGGGTTTTTGAATACATTTATGGCGAATTCAAAAATTAAAATTCTACGCACTATGTATTTCCGGTATTTTTCAAAACGTCGTTTTTACAATACTAAATATCTATGAATATTAAAAATTAAAAAATCGTATGTGTATTAAATGTAAAACCTAAAAGATAAAAAAAACTTTGTATACGTTTAAACCTTGAGGGGTATTGTGCATTATTTATAAAGTCATCCGGTCGTTAACAATAACACCAATAACATAATAATAATTAAACGTGTATTTTTTTGTCACATGCGTAAAAATAATATATGCTACTATGTAACAAGTATATTATTAATGTTAACAACATGTTTTATGGATAAAATGTGCTGGAGTTAGGAAAAATGTTGTTGAATACATATACGTAATGTATAATTTTTACAGAATGATTCACCAAACATGTCCATCCCCTTTTTTCTTCAATAATGTAGTTTTATTCATAAATTTAACCTTAGGAATTTTTAAGTACCTATACTTTAAAACTATATTTTCTAGTTTTTGAGATTTTTTTGTACGAGTACTACTTAAAAGTATCCTGTGGAGATAAAAACTTCTGTTTTTCAAATGAAAACTTCCTTTTTCTATTGTAAATTATTTAGCGGATATATTTTTTGAAAATTTTAACCTATCAAAATTAAAACTTAGATGAGTAGTTTTTGAGTTATTTAAGTTTGTATACTGAGAAAAATATGTTTATGATAATGGGTTTGAAGATATGTGGGCTACGATGATTTGTAAATTTTAGTAACTAATAACAATCTATTAACATACCTATTATTATTGTTATTTAAAAAAAATGGGGCAAAGTATTACAAATACTAGATTCAATATTATATCAACGGTTTTTTATAAAACCGTTTTTAGTTAGATACATCAAAATTTTCAAAAAATTATCCACTACAAAATGTACATAATAAAATAGGAGAGTTTTCATAAAAAAAAAAAAAAAAAAACAAAACAGAAGTTTGTATCATTATAGAACAATTAATTACCTACTGTATAAAAATCTCAAGGATTTTAAAACATGGTTCATAAGTACGTTTAAAAATTCTTAAGATCAGAATCTGAATAAATTTATTATTATATGAAAAAATGAGGGTGAGTATGCTCAGTGTTCATTCTGTATATAAGAGTTTTTACAGCTACTAGAATATGTAGTAGTAAGGATGATGCAGGAATTGAGGAGAAGCCCATTAGTAAAATTTAAATTACGTTTATGTATTAAGTACATCACCTAATATGCTATGTTACACATACCACACGCGCGAACGGATGATGATAGTTCTATTATTGTTTTATTCGCTCTATAATATATTTTTTACCATCATTAAACAGCTCATTTCCGTCATTATTATCATATAACACGCATATAGGTAGGTTGGTAGGTGGGTAAGTACGTCATGTGTATCTACCTATTTAGTCTATGGCATATAGTATAGAGAATAATATACTCAATGCTTACGTTTATTGTTCCTATTGTGGGTAGGGATTTAAATATGTGGGTGGTTGCTAAAGGTGCTTTAAAATAAAATTAGAGCATTATGCCATAGACACTCTATATATATATAAATAATATGTGAAATATGTCTAATTACAGTTTAATCTTAAAACTTTTAATATATTCTTCAACTTTTGTATGTTTAATCTAATTAAAATTAAATGCATACACGTTACACTTGATATACTTTAATAATAATAGTAAGTAATGAATACTTTAATAAAAAATAATAATAGAAATAAAATATAATAAATAATATCAATAATAGAGTTGTTGTTTTAAAAATAAATATTTAGCTAATCAAATCAATTTAATTATTTAAATGTATTTAATATTAAAAATAAATAAATAACTATCCTATTATTATATTATTCATGCATAATAATAGCTACAAATTATAGACATCTATTTATCATATTTTAAGCTCAACATATTGAAAAGTGTTATACATAATGAAAAAAAAAATGAACAATTGTTTTTTATTTTATTCACTACTTTTTCTCAAAGAATACTAATACATTATTTCAAGTAGTACGTGAAGATCGTGAAGTTACAAATTATTCATAAGTCATAATCAAAATTTAAATATTTTCCAATTTTGCAATATTCTCTATTGTAGTTTACAATTATGATATTAATGCATCATACGAGCATATAATGATATTTTCAAAACACTATAAAAAGTATGTTCAGAAAAAAAACCATATTTCATTGTATAACTAATAATAATTACATTTGCTATCGCATATAGGTAATCTAAAATGTAATTTGTTTGTTAGTCATTACTATAGAAGGAAATAAAGGTGGATAATGTAAATCTAATTATAATATGTAGGTATACAATTTATACTGTAACACATGAATTAGGTACACCATCCAATACAATTCACGTTTAAAAAATTAAATAAAAAATATTTGGTGAATCAATGTTCAACTTGTTTTTTAAAATTTGGTATTATTACGTTTTTATAGGTTACCTTTCTTGGTTATATGCCTATATTAATATCTACCTGAGAAATTATAATTTGAATATGCACTAGCTTATTAAAACTTATTTTTATTAATTTAACTTTGTTCTATACGAATTTATTTTATATCTATCTCTATGCATTTTATATAATAATATGATAATATATGACTTTCATTATAAAAGTTAATTATGAAGTGCCAAGTGCATTATTATGAAACTTATTTTTCATTCAAAATGTATGGAGGTAGGTAGCTTATAAATAGGTAGTACCTACTAAGTATTCGTATTATGCATGGGAATTTGTATTTATAGTATTATTTATAAATAGTTTTATTACTTAAAATGTCAATTATAAAATAAATTTCTTTCCTTCTATTTTAAAAAAAGAGTCCATATTAACGTTTTTTTTACGGTTAACGTGAATTTTTAATTTACTCAATTAATTTTGTATGCAGGTATAAATAGGGATTGAAATTTCTAGTACTTAATAAATTTTATTAAATAACATTGGTTGAATTTAAATGGCGATACTATTTTATTCTCACGAGTATTTAGTATTTACCCATATTAAAAAATAATTTATTATAAGAGTAAATATTTGTTATAAACTTTTATGGTCATATTACAAAATTGTCCCTAGAGGAAAATATTATTTATCACCGTTAATACTATTACTTGCATAATAGTATAAATTATAGATGAGTTGAGAAAAACTGTTTGGAGACGGCTACTAGTGAAGAATGTGTAGAATTTTATACACAGAATTTTGTTGTTTTTTAAATAGTGAAAATGTTATTTAAATATCATATATTACAGTAAATTTAAAAAAATATATTAAAAAAAAAAAAAAATAAATAAGTATTTTGAGAGTGATAAACTAGGTATGGTTGTAGGTACTTGGTGTATTTTTTATTATTTTTTTATTTTGTTACGCCTAAAAATATATTGAACGTACAATTAAACTGTTTACTTTTAATAATTGTTAAATTAAATTTTTTTATAATCAAAGTTCAAACCTATATAGTTATATAAAGACATTTAAAGCAAATAAAATATATGAAAGGTGCAGTGATTGTTTATCACGAACCATCGGGCTATAATGCAATATCATAGGAAATGAAGATATTTTTAAATTTTAATAATACAGGTATTGATAAAAGAAATTTTTTTAGTTTATTTAGTAAAACCATTAAACTTAAGTCTTATTAATTATTCAACATTATTTTATCAAGAAAAATGTCAAATACTAATAGTATATTTTAAAAATCATGTTTTCCTAAGATATTTAATGTTTGGTTTATGATTAAAAATTCATTTAGTATTCTAGTATATAAAGTATAACATTTCAGTTTATAATAAAAATGTAGTAAATAAAATTTTTCTCTAATGTATTTTAGACTTTAGTCCTATACGTTTTATTGTGTTTTATATTGTTAATTTTTTGTTTAAATGAGGAAGTAATATTTAATTTACATTTTAAAATTAATATTTGCATAAGCACACAGATCTGTTTAAGTTATTTAAGATAAAGCAAAATATCAAAGCATTATTTTTCTTTAAGCGCACGACGATTGCTTTTATATTTTATGAAAAATTTTTATTTTAATCTTAAATTTATATTTTGGGTGGAGATTTACAAAATTATGATAAAAGTATTAAATGAGGGGGCGTAAATTTATGTCGCCTCTTAGCTATACTTATGTTTTTTTCAGTAATATTTAAACAAGAGTTCCCCCAGTTTTATAACTAGAAGCATAATAAAAGCATACCACCCATGTAACTAGTATAGTTAATAGCAGTATTGAACAGAGATAAAGCACGGAATTAAAACAAGTTTTATTTTATATTTTTGGATAAAATAATTTTTTTAAAGATTTAAAAAAAAAGTTATAGAACTAATTTTTATTTACTGAGATTTAGAATTTTTTTTAAATCAAAAAAATTGATCATGAGCAAAAAAAAAAAAAATTATCATTATTGTTTATTGGATTAAATATGCTATTATACATTATTTATAGATTTGTATTAAAACTATTTTTTTTATGTAATATTTGAAATGTTGAACACGTCATGACATAGACTATAATATAATATTGCGTTAAATAAAAATCGTACCTAATAGGTAGGTATTTAAAGTAAGATCTATAGTTGGTTTTAATACTTTTTATTTTAATGTAGGTTTATTATGTACTTTGTTATTTAAATGTACTACTAATAGATATTTTTATGTATGATGTACAATAAATGATAAATGAAATTTCAATTATTTTCATGTTTCATTCAACAATAAATAAGACATTTGATATTTAATTTTAATTTTACATAATATAATTTCAACTAATAATAAATTATTTTGCTCAGTATTTGTAGAACACTATAATAATAGTACAACGTTCAAAATGTGCTGATTACTGGAAATAAAAATAAACAATTGTGATGACAAAAACTTGTGGTATAGGTACATGCTGGCAAAGGCAGCAGCAAGAATAGTGTGTTAGGAGAGGGGAGTCATAAAGAACTAGATCCTGTAAATTAGGATTACTTATTTTTGATATAAATGATAATATTTAATATATAAACATAATTTTTACTTTGACATTCAGTGGTAGAATATTTAATTTTTATAATTTGGTGAAATAAATTTTACCTGCAAATTATTTTTTTATAATTTACGATAATATTATATTTTTTATAGTTTGGTAAAACTCACAAAACGAATAAATCGAATCTATGTCATTGGTCGTTTTTGAATGCGAGACATTTGATCGAGTGACGTAAAAGCAACGATTGTGTACGTACGAGTGTGTATACTTGCGGTATGCGTGGCATAAAAACATTTCTAAATATATAATAACACTATGTAAATCGCCAAATCGCCACTATTTGCTTTTGAATATAGAACTTATGTGTGCGTATCGTTTATGTCTTTTACATTCCGCAGAATATAAAAGTTTTTAGTTAAGGGTTGTGAGTACGAAAGATTTCATTGAATTTTTTAGGCTTTTGGTTTTTAAATACCTAGGTATACCTACTTCTTATAATAAACGTAAATAAGTACGAGTATAACAGTTTTTTGAGTACTTATATCTATAGTTACTTTACAAAATTAAGTGATTTTAATCGACAAATGTATATAAGTTATAATTTATAATTAAGAAATGCATAACACTGTTTCATCGTGAGGTTAGGACGATATCATAAAATTAATTACCTATATGGTAAAAAATAAAAATAAAACATTAATAAAATAATTTGGTTTAACACCATATTTGAGATAATTTGGTATTATTATAGCTCAGTGGCTTTCAAGCTTTCAAACTTTTTTTTAAACACTGCATATTGTGCTCTTCATGAGAAATTTACCACGTACATCAATAATTTTTACGACCTTTTTTTTATTATTTAATTATTTTGAACAAAATCTCGCATCATTCCTAGAGACATCTAGTTTAAAAATCACTGAAATAGCTATTTAAATTACTCGTAATAACGGTTACGTAGGTAATAATTATAATTTAGGTACCTAATATATTCTTTTGGCTTGTCCAAGTCCAACACATTGTTTAAATTAAATCATAAGCTAATTAAACTTTATTTCGAATGTCTTGTTTATGATATTAAAGTTAAAAAATATATACTACATGTTTATTCTAAATGTAGTTTTGACTGAAGTACCTAATCATTTTTACAAATGTAAAACGTAGGTATTAAATATAAATTTACATTTATAACCACAATAACCGTTGTAATTTTAGTTTTAACTGTACTATACTGTAGTGGTGAAGAAAGTGTATGAATAAATTGAATTTGATTTTTAATTATAAAAATGTAAAATAAAATGTTGCCAGTTTTAAATTTTGGCGGTAAATTAATAATTTTATTTTTAGATTTTGATTCGTTTATGAATGTATTGAATATTACTTAAATTACATGTCATTTAAATTCGGGATTTGTTCAGTAACATTTTTATTTTTTAGGATTAAAAATATACACATATATTTTTTTTGTTACTATTTTATTTTGGTAATGATGCCAGAGTTTTCTTAAACATAGCATATTTATTTGGAATGTTGACGTACACTAACCGGGACCAGAGTGTATTATATGTATAGGTATGTGGGAATATTATTTCAACCCACACTAGGTATTTATTTATGAGGTTTGAACTACATTGAATCTAAAATTATCTATTATTATATTGTTCATATCTTTAGTGTACAGTCTAACCCCCAGATAGTATACCTATTGAGGATTTTAAGTAAATATTCAGTTTAAAATTGAATAAACTTTTTTTAAATTTTATCATTAAATAAATTATTAAATATATACTTTAGATAAATAATGAAACGAATGTTATAGTATTATAATGATAAAATTGATAAGGCTCAGAAGAGTCAAAACTTAAAAGTAAGATAACATAAGATACAATAAATATTAAAATGCATGCTATTTTTCTGTATGTAATATTCTCGCCGAACTTATATTTTAATTTTAAATGTATTAAGTATTAAAAGTTAAAACAGAATTGAATATTATTTCAATTAAATTTTGTTTTATAATTGTATATTATATTTAGTTACGGATAATTATAATAGTTTAGGTATACCTACAATGATAACAAATAATATAACATTACGTGCATACAAAAAAAAAAAAAAAAAATTGAGTATATCATAAATAAAATAAAATTTATTAAAATATATGAGTAAAAAATTAGTAGATTTTAAATTGATTTAAATGTATTATTAAAGTTTTTACAATGATACATTTTAATATATATTTTAGCAAATATATAAGTAATTAGATAATTAATAAAACACAAGATATTAAATATCAAATTATGAAACATCATTAAATAATTACATTTGTTGGTAGTAGAAAAGTAAAAAACAAAAAAAAAAACAAAAATATTCAAATAGTGAGTAATATAAAATAATAATTTAGCATATTCATTGCTTATATAATACTAACCTTTTCGTCTTCTTATTTTGTTTATATTATTGAAAAAAGAACATAAATTTGAAATTAAGATTAAGAATTTTATTAGCCATAAAACTATATACATAATAATTATTTTGTTTGAAAAGTGTTTGGATACAAATATAATATATATTTATATATACATAAATTTTAATGACTTATTTTATTTGGTTTTTTTCAGGTTGCTATAAAAATGATCGATAAAAGGAAATTGGATGCAGTTAATCTGGAAAAGGTTCATCGTGAAGTAGATATTATGAAACAGCTGGACCATCCTCACATCATTAAACTATATCAAGTGGGTAAAATAAATAGAAATATATTTTTTTAAATAATGTGAGGTTCAAAGATAAATGCCTTTGTTTTAGATTCTGTGCAGAGCGATAAATATATTGATTTTCCAATGTTTCTTTTTTGTGTACAAGTACGCGATAAGTTGTCGATAAAACTTTTCAATTTAAAATTTAAGGGTGGTTTTGGATAGAAAATTGCATCTAGTTTGTACTTTATTATAGAGGTCAAAATTAAAAATGTATCAGTAGTTTTTTTTTCATAATTAGGAAAACAAACAAATAATTAAGGTATTTTTACGCTAAACTAGAATTTGAATAAATTGATTTCTTAATTTTGTTATAATTCAAAAACGAATAATTATAGACTCTTAAAATATTATAATTTTTCTTATATGATAACATTTTTAAAATATTTTGAAATTTTCTTTTTTTTTTGTTAGTTTTTTTTTTTTTTTATAAATATCAAAACAAAAAATTTAAATAGGTAAAAATTCTTGAACATTTAATACAATGCTCTTGCTCCTATTAACTATTAAGTGATTAATTTCCTAACTGAGAAATATCGAATATTTTTGGCCACAATATTATTTTATAAGCATTTAAATTTAGATTTTTGGCAAAATTCGTTGAAAATCACAATAAGTAGAAGTTAATTTTATAATTAGAAATACATAGAACATTTTTTGTTTATACCTAAGACTAAAAAAAAGGATATAAGATTATTTATAAGCATGTCAAATTTTTAATTTTTTTTTATACAAAATAAATATTATTTATTGGGTCAACATTTTTAAACATTTAATACAAGATTTCTCATAAATACTTTTACTAAAACTTTAAAATCTAATAAATATATAAAGGCTATTATTTTTTTTAATCAAATTTGGATTTGATTACTTATTTAAAGATACATAGATACATAACGTTGTTAATTATTTTTTTTTATAATTTAAAAATGTTATTCGTGAGAAATTAAAATGTTTACGTTTATTACATTATTATGAATTTTAATATACGCAATGACATTTTTGATTCATTTTAAGATATTATCTAATGGTACTTAGAATTTATTTTTAATCTTTTAAGATATTTCCAAAAAAGTTTTCTAACATTTTATATAAGTTGATATAATAAACCATATTTATATATAATTATGATAATTCAATAATAATATAGTTAAATAAATACATTATTTTCGGAAAAAATTATATCAATAGCTACTGTAATACTAAAATTACAATAAATTATTTTTATATTTATATCAAAAAAACATATTATGAAGTATACTTAGTGATATAATAGATTGACAGACCGTTTGAGATCAGAATAATTTTTTGTAAACGTTGATATATTATTGAATTAAAATTTAACACATACAAAACAGTGACTCACTCGACACTTAATGTATAGCAGAGCGATACTCACTTGTCCATTTTTTTAATTTTTCTTTTACAAGAAAAATTATTCGTGTATAATTTAGTATGATTAAATTATAAAATAGTTATCTTACACAATAATATAATTTTTAGATAGAATTGTTATAACATAAAATATATGATGTTTAAATTATTTAACGTCTGTAATTCGGTTAATGCATAGGTACAAATTAAAATTATTATTGTTATTTCAAATTATAAACTACTAAATACCTATTTTTTTCTGAAATTATATTGTATCTAACTATATATAACCATATAAGTATCTATACAATCATTTAAATGTTAGTTACCTATAGTAGTATTGTACTTTTAATAGAGGGTTATATATTTACGTGAAGCGAAGTTTTTGGTGTAGTTAAATAATAAGATAGTTAGAATTGTGAAGTTTAAATAACTAATTATTATTAAGATTTAAGATAAATATAAATTTAAATCAAAATAATTTTTGTTATAAATAGGTTATGGAATCAAAAGATATGATATATATTATTTCAGAGTATGCCAGTCAAGGAGAAATATTTGGTAAGTAACTAAAATTTTGACATAATAAGACAGTACACATAAATATGCTATACATTACTTTCGATGAATAATTTATTATTATTTATTAGTTTTCAAATTTTAAGAATAATAGGGATAACTACTTATAATTATTTTTAAACGTTTTCTGGAATATAAGGATTTAAATTGATTTCGATTATTTAATATTTGTTTAAACATATTATAACATTAACATATTATAAATAATAAATTATAATAATATTTTATAAATATTTTCTAACTCATAAATAATTTATAATTAATTCGATAAAAGTATAGAGCTTTTTTACTTATTAGTACTATTTTACTTTATTAGGTCATATACTTTCTATGTCTATGACAATAATTCAAAAGTATGCGTTTTACATATTGATAAACAACAGGTGTATTTAACTACCCTGGTCAAATATGAGTATTCTATTTTCATTATACCATGACTCAAGTATTCATTACAGTGATCCATAATTAGCATACTGTTTTCAAATAACACTAATTCAAATTTACACTAAAAACAAACTCTTTATTGTTAATTAGTATTTGTAAAACAATCGTCAATGGCGAAAGCTTAAATAAAAACTAAAAGTTGTTATTGAACAGAACCTTGAATATTAAAAGGATTTATTTTCAATTTCTAATTATTTTCTGTATCTATTCTATCACAGGATGTAAATAACAACTATTCTTTGATATTATAATTATAGTATGATTTAATTATCGTTAAATTATTTTAGTTGAAATGTTAATCATGTTTAAAATGTTAATTTTTTTTTCATGGAAATATTAAAATGTACTTTTGAATTTTCTTGTACTTATAATGGTATAATACCCCGAGAGGTTAAAAATGTATGTTCTTCCCGGCAGTAATAATAATTTTTTAAATTTAAGATTTTATTTCAAGTATAATTTATGTACAATATATAATATTATTTTTTAAATTGCTACTTCTTTAACATTTATATGCACTTTAAAAACACTTTATACACTATTAAAAACTTTTACGTATGGGATAGTATATAGATTTATAATATTATGCTTCTAAAATATTGAAACCATACGCGCATTAATACCTAACAACATTATACATAGTTACGTTTGGAGTTTAAATAAGGTTGAATAAGATTTTAGTATTAATTTAGTTTCGGTTTTATCAAAAAAATTCTCTTTAAAATAAGTAGGTATCTCTACTTACCCAATTTTAAACTGGATGTTTTATCGTAAATCAAATAATATATTATAAAACATATGAAGTTTTTCATCGGTTGAAAAAGTATTAATTGAAAATAAAAACTGGTAGTACTTTTTTAAATGTATTTTATTCATTTAAAATTAATAGAAATGCATATCAAATATATATTATGTATATTTTTAAATAATGTTATCCAGTAAAAAAATATAAAATGTTAACTATAGTATAAAACACAAAACCAACGATTTTGTGGCTTCAATCATACCAACGTTTAAAAATAAATTGTTAAAACTATTGCAGAGAAATTCGTTTATTGTGATTCCTCGTGGATTTTAATGGAAAGACTAAATTATAAACACTAAAAAATATGGTATTATTTGGTTTATATACTACATAATATTAGAAAAATTCGTTATCTAAAAAAACATAAAAGTCAACGGTTTATCGTGTTGATACATAGTGTAAACTAAAGAAAAAATAAATAAATATATTTCAACGTTGGGAAAAAACTAACTCATTTTGCAAAACGATAAAAAAAATATTTTTATATTTACATATTCCTTGCTTCTCTAATAGTAAGTACGCCGTACGTGTATTGTGCGTGTGTTGCATGGCTTAACAACATACACAGGGTGATTTTATTACAGTGAATTACGTTTGTTTTTTCAAAGTATTGTGTTTTAAACAAATATTTTCGTACGATTTAGAGTAACCACAAGGTCTAAAATTTATTTATTTGTTTTTTTTTTAAATATTCTATAATCACGAATCTGGTGGGTTTTTAAGCGATATTTTTTAATAACAGCCTATAAATATTTATTAAAATGATAGTAAATAATTATACTATCGTGTATTAAATATATCCATGACACTAAATAACAAATATTGAATTTCAATACGATCATTTAAAGTTGTATGGAGGGCCGCTTGATGGTGCTTCGCGCCACCCCAATTTTTTTTTTTTGCTTACATTATATTATGGACTCGTGTTTAACTATTATAAAAAAAAAAAAAAAGGAAAAAGAAATCTACTGCTCAAACAATTTATAAAATTAAAATAATCGCTCTGTATAATGTAATTATACTACAGTATAATAATATGTCATAAATTGCATCACGGCGAAAGTATAAAACGCGCAGTGGGTGGTGATATGTGACGATAGAGGTGTAAGACGGGAGCTTTCGGTGCGGATAACGTTGGCTACAGCGGTGGTCGCAGTCGTCGTCGGATAAGGAACGGGAAGGTTGGGCACCAAGCCAACGATCGAGCGATCTAGCGACAATCGCAACACACACACACACACACACACACACACACACACACACAACTTACGCGCGCAAGCGCTCGCCCGCTTGTTTGTACAATAATATGAAACAGCAGCTGAAGAGAGCGCGTACTATAGAGAGCTTATTGATCGCGTGCGAGCGGTGGCGACCGGCTTCAAGGCACCTCCGCCGCAGCCGGTCTCTCTGCACACCCTCGCCTCCGCGGCACACAATGCGTCGACCCCGAAAGCGTAGCGTACAACAGCCGTCGGTGTGTTGCGTTTTTCCCGTCCCGCGCGCATCGTTGTCGACGACGGCCGATACGATATGAAATGCATCGTCGCGATTATGATATACCATAATATATATATATATATATATATTATAAAGTAGGGCTGTGGGTATTTTAAATTTTGATATCCGATATCCGGTATTTGTTTACTACCTGTATCAACGGCGGTATTGCCGATTATAAACGGTACCTATATAGAAAAAAAAATTATGTATATATATTATATATATAGCGTTTTCGGTGAATTTAAAACAGTTTTATGCGAACCCAGGAAAATGCTTGATATTTATTACTATATATATATACTATGTTAGTTATAATGTTGTTTAAAAAAAAAAATAAAATTTATTTACAAAACGTTTTTTAATGCCGTTGGGAAGGGGGTGTAAGTAAAAAGGGGCATTGAATAAAAAGGTTTTATAAACTGTTCTCGATCAGAATTTCATGACCTTTTTGCAGTCGTGGTCAACCACTTTATTGTTGTATTTTACAAAATAGTACTACGGATCCGTAAGTGGTTTAAACATTACACCAAAAATAGATTTTCGGGGTATAATACTGTCTTGTATGCTGCTTTAAATCGATGAGAGATTACATGAATTCGTTATTTTTGGCAATTACTTTAGCATGGAATACCATACCATAGTTGATAACAATGATAGTTACCGAATCGAGGTATTCTGGTATTTTTAAATATCGAAAATACCGGATACCGGTAATACCACTTGTTCTAAATACATATTGTATGAGTACACATTAAATGAATATTTTTATAGAGAACGTGTAAACAAAAAAAAAAGTATATTCTGCGTAAAAATAGTTATTCATAAAAAAATAGAAAAATATAAAAATCACGAGAAAATATTTTTTAACTCTCTCGAAACCTTGAAAAATATTACTAAGCCCCTTTTGCCGTATAACCATCGATATTACCTATTATTATCAGTAGCGTTTGTGTGTATATAATATATATTCTATGTATGTATAATGTATATGTATATTTATATTATACATTACACACTACTCGATACTACCGAAGACGTACGAGTTTTCAAGTAATGTGAGAGTATAATTTAATTACTTTTTGACTTGTATCCAAACTAACATTAATCACTATAAACACTACGAGTTATTTGATACTCTAAAACCTTATGAAACTACTAAACTTTTCTTTTAAACAATAATTTTAAGTATTAAATTTTATAATATAAAAATAATAATTATAGAGTATAAGTTACACCAATCACTGCTTGCTTTATGTATATGTACCCAATCACACATATCACTTGAAGGTTAAAGATGTGGAAAAGAAGATTTATATATATTATGTATATATACATATTTCGAATTACGTACGTCTCTTCTTTAAGGTTTTCCTGATGGGCGCTAAGAAATATTAAAATATATAAAAAACTTTTTAACTTTTAACTTTTTAATTAATAACGTTTAAGCTGTTGAATATAGCCTAAACGAATGACGGTATTAATGCTTAATGTGAAAATACCACGTTTAGAAACTGAATAACAGCATCTGAAAAAGTGCATGTACATCCTTTCCCGAATTTCGAAAGAATAAGAAATTATTTTTTTATTTTTGTACGGTTTATCGATTTTTTTACATAGGTTCAGTAGGTCAATATAGGAATGTTTTGGCACTATTGTACAGTAAGTAAGTGATGGAAAATGGTGACACATCGCACTAATGAAATGGCCACGCTGTTTGATTGTATATGAATATAATATATAATATAAATGCGAATTTTTAAATATACCTATGCAGATTGTTTAAAAATGTTCATCAACATTTATTTTTCTAATAGGTACTAACATTTAAAATGCGATTTTAGATGATATTAGTTTTCAATTTTTTAATTTTTTTATACTTTTGAATATTATTTTTTATTTAGGAAAACGCAACTATTATACTTCACATTTAGTAGTTTTTGATTTACTTAAACTCAAAATAATAAATTTAAAATATTTGTTTTCTTAAATTCTTGAGATAGACAATTTATAGAGCTAATTTATGTAAATATTTTAAAAGTTTACTAATTTTCATTAAGTATTTAAATAGTTGTAAAATACAAAAGACGAATTGATGAGAATATATGTATTAAGTTGAACAAACGCACGCAAGACAATCTGCAGTATTATATACTTCCTAGGTTAATTTCATGTATTTTACTTAAAATTTAGTACACCTACTTCAACTTTTTTGAAATATTAACTGAACGAAAAAAATGATAATATAGTCATCGATGGACAAGAAAATGTCTATATATATATATATATAATATAATATATAATTATCAATAGAAGGTCCACTATTAAAATTCTTACGTTATGTATATAATAATATGTAAATTATTTTCATACTTCTTGTTGTTACTAAAACGTGTATTACTAACAGTAAATACTAGATATTATACTATATTGTGTATAGTTATATAAGTTATACATTTTTCAACTAAATGACTAACTCATTAAAAAAAATTTTTCTCCAACACTTTTGTAAAAAATATATTTATGTTACACAACATAGTATGTTTCTAGATAATTTACTATTTACTTAAGACCGTTTTGGATTATTAAGTTGGAAGAAAAAATAAAAATATAATACGTTATAATGTTTTGAACCATAGAAATGAAATCATATTCAAATTATTTTAAATAACCATCAATATTAAAATACAATAGTCAATTGTATTCAAAACTACATTTTACCTACTATTTGTTCATTTATACTTTTTTTTTTGTATAAGTATGTGTGTAATCATAAATAAAAAAATAATAATATTTCTATAACCGTTTTATGGAGTCAAAAAACCGTAACATTTTGTTTTGTAAGATTGCTTATAGAATCTATAAGTGAAACGACTGGAACGAGGGATCATCTTGTTTACTATTAATATGTAATTGTATTTATATAATTTTATTAAAAAAAAAAAACTTATTGGGGAGAAAAAGTTTTGCACTTTGTTAATTAGGTCGTAGTCATTAGTAATAATTTAATGTCAGTATTGCTTTAATATTAGTTTGTTCTTATAATTTGTACTCAACATTGTTATACTTGTGTTGTGTAGTTTTAATAAAAAAAACAATGTTGATTCAACTAAAATTTAAAATTACAATTTCATTTTATATATTAATAAATCTTATTCCAACATTGAAAATTACGTAATTTTTGTATTGTTAATCATCATGATTATTAAAAGTAATTCGTTTTAATGTTATGTAAATGATGTTATATTGTTATAGTCATATCTTCTTTATAACTATAATTTATAGTGTATAGACTCTACATACTATTCAATACATTTAGAAAATCTTAACACATTATATAAATTTAAATGTTTATAAACAACTTTATTTTAAAAGTTCTATAAATATTTAACTTTGGTATAATACTAATATTGTAGTAAACCTAGTTTGGTTCAGCAGTTATTATATTTAACGCAATAGTTAATCATTGTTTACCACAGTATACAAACAGCGTTTTCAAAAAAAAAAAATAATAATATTAATATTAAATATAAAGGGAATACGTAAATTTGTTACGTATTTATTTATTTCTATTGATCGGGAATAGTCTAGCTAAGTTTTAAGCTTAATGTTATAACAAATTGATGATACAACTTTTTTATACTTTAGCTACGTCAATCTCATGTGGTCGCTCATGGCCTCACGTTATACAAAACTATCAATTATAGTGTATTCACTTTAATAATCAAATGTAATATTCATATTAATATGTTAATATATATACAATAATATGTATCTTACTATCACAATGAATAAATGTATGTTTGTAAAACAATAGTTACTAAAATAGTAAAATCTGGTAATAAAAGTACTATAAAATATGATACTAAAATTGCTTTTTTTTATGTGCGATTGTACACGGCACTTGGTCTCTATATAATGTCTTTACTGATATAGCTGTTATAACAATGGTTTTTTTATTATAAAATATAAACAATAAAGAAATAAGCTTATAAATGACATTTTTCAGCTGAATTAATAAATGATCCATAATTTAAATTTACCAACTTAACTTCTATTTTGTGTATAAACGTGTTATTGAAGCCAATAGTCATATTATATACTTATAGAGAATCTTAAAATAAGTTGTAACATTAAACATAGGTATATATATGGGCTCTATACTTTTTTTAGTTATTCGGTTATATTACAAATTAAATTAATATGGATATTTAATATTAGATAATTTTTATACTAATTTAAATAGTTTAAGAAATATAAAATCTTCATAGTTTTACTATAAATCAATTTGAAATTAATTAAATCTGTTTATAGTACATAATATATTTGTATTTGTATAGATTACATTGCGAAATACGGTCGAATGACTGAAGCAGCTGCAAGAAAAAAGTTTTGGCAAATACTCTCAGCGGTTGAGTATTGTCACAACAGACATGTTGTTCACAGAGATTTAAAAGTACGAAATTGTTTAATAAAAATAAACAAAAACAACTTTTAGGATAAATATTGATGAATACATTTTTGTATAGGCAGAAAATTTGCTACTTGATGCTAATATGAACATAAAAATCGCTGACTTTGGATTTAGTAATTATTTTACACCTGGCGAACAGTTGGCTACTTGGTGTGGATCACCCCCTTATGCTGCTCCTGAAGTTTTCGAAGGCAAAAAATATTATGGTCCCGAGATTGATGTTTGGGTAAATGTTTCGAATTATTTAAAATTATAGTGTATTATTAGACGGGTATCAAAAAATTCATGGTTTGGATTTTAGTTAAAAATGAATTACAACACTTTTATTACTTACTATTAATACTGCAATAATAATAATTATACAACTAATTTTATTTATATCAGATTAATGATTGTTATGGATTTTTTTTTAAAACTGTTTTGTTTTTGTTTCATTTGTAATTTTATTTTTATTAAAAATTATTTTTCAGAGTATGGGAGTAGTTTTGTACGTATTGGTTTGTGGAGCACTGCCATTCGATGGAAGCACGTTGCATTCACTGAGAGATAGAGTTTTGTCTGGACGATTTCGTATACCTTACTTCATGAGTACTGGTAAGTTACGTATAATATATTTAACAATATTTTATACTAAATATCTTGTAATTTTTTCCCGGAGAAATCCTTGGTTTTTTTAAAATTTTTATTCGTTCAGATTTGTGTATGATTAGTAATCATTGATTACATTTGTGGAGTGAGCGCGTGACGAAAATTTCAACTAACACTGTTAAATTGAACTTGATTCAAAAAATGCATGAGTAAAAAATCAATGAAACAAATTTAAGAAATATCATCGATATTGAACTAAAAATCACAAAACATAATATCTATATAATTTTCCACAACTAATTTTCAAATGGCTGTTTAACGCGTTGATTATTTTCAGTTTTACCGTATGGAATATAATATCTTTTGTACCTACCCATTGTTTATAAATTTTAAACATTTCAGTTTACTATACATATTTTATATCGTTACTTGTTAGCTATTAATGCTCCTTAGTTAATACTTGATAAGCATTTTAGGTGCTAATGTATGTATCTATTATTTTATGTATAATTTGATCCTATAATCATATAAGAGCAAATAGTATTAAATATTTAAATTTAGTTAAAATTGCCATCATGGTCTTACTATAATATAAAATGTTAAAGTTTGACTTTGCATAATAAAAAATATATAGGTAGACATAGAATAACCGCAGAATAAGTTAAAATCTTAAATAAATGTTTACACTGTAGGTACTCGCAATTAAAATTAAAATATCTCTTTACTTTTTTCGAGTGCATCCCGTTTTCAATATTTAGTAGGTACTTTCATCAAATATAAAACTTTTTCATAGTCCAAATTTGTCTACAATCTTATTGGTAAATTATATTCAAGCGCGTTTGTAATATTATTGACAAATTATATTGAATAGCTTGAATGCATTACTGTTATACAGCTGTAAATATTTAATTATAGTTAAAATTCAAAACCATAATATTATAAAAATAATTTTCACCATAAAGACTATGACATTGTGGGGAAACTGCATTTTATTATTTAACTAAGGATAAATTTGACTCATTTACAATTAAAAAGTGTAAGTGAAGACATTTTATTATAGGCAATTCATATTTTTAATTTCCAAATAAATCGTATTGCTAAATAACATACACGGTAAGTAAGATACTTTAATATTTTAACAAAACATTTTTAAAATAACAAAAAAAAATAAAAACATAAAAAAATAGTTTATACACCCAACATTTTAAAAATATGTGTAAGCCAAAATAATTAAATAAATATGCATCATGACCTCTGGGTAATTCTAAATGATCTGGGTCACCCTGGAATTACGTAGAATAAATGATATATTTTTTTTTGAGATGTGCTGTGTTGGTACTTTTTCCATACGCACTAGGGACATTAAATTAAGAGTCATTTCGGGACGTACTCGGTAAACTTCCTTAATTTTATTATTTTCATTGGTAGTAATTTGTTTAATATTTTTATTACATTTATAGACCTATGTAATGTATCTATTATCTAAACATTTTTATAGAATATATTATATTTTTTCTTAGCAATGGTTAATACTAAATTGAATTGATAATTTTGTTACACATATAAATTGATTAGGCAGTATGAAAACTATTAATATATTCAAGTGTGAATGAAAATGACCAATATATATATATGGATATATACTACAAAAACCATACTAAGCTCCCTATAAATATTTGTTTATTTGCTTTTATATAAAAATATTATATACGTATAATGTATATTTAAATAACAGATGATATATCATAAATGCTGTTCAGTATTTACGGGGGATCATTGGGAGATAAACTCACATTTTTATTTACAATTCTTGAAGGTTTTTTCTATTCATGAAATATATCCGAGTCAAAATTCTCATCTGTTGAACATTTTCATAGATAGTAGAAGTATTGGATTTTTTTTTTAAAGATTTAAATAATTAAACTGTAATGTGAGCAACGTGATAAATTGAAGGCAGTGGTCTCAGAAGAACATATAAAAGTGGACCGAGCATCAAATTTAATGATTGTAATGACGTAACTACGCGTTGGTTTGTCGTAAATTATCAAACAAAAAAATCCAGTGGTTTCGCCAGGTTTTATTTTCACTCCGTGCCGGGTCTGCCCGCGTGGTATGACGCACATGCAATGACGTCACTGCCATCAACGACGAAGCGATCAATTTTACAGTACTAACTGCTGAACCGCTTGGTTGGCGGAATAAAAACGAATACTAAATATGTCAACACGTGAAATGTGAATGTATAATAATACAATAAAATATTAATGTACTTTACAGGTTGTGAATCATTGATACGTAAAATGCTTATATTAGATCCGAATAAAAGGTATACGGTCGAACAGATAAAAAGACATCCTTGGATGTTAGAAGAAGCGCCAAGACTTCTACCGGGTACAATTGCAGAAATGCCCGCAGAACCTAATGATCAAGTGTTGCGATTCATGAGCAGTTTAGATATAAATACGACGAGAACTAGACAGGTTAGATTTTTTAGTTATAATTACCTATTTTAAAGGACATATTAATATTTAATATTTAAATAAACATTTTTATTCATCTATTAAAATATAATATTTATTTATTGTGTTTGTTAAAAATCTGTTATATAAAAACAATTTCGAAATAGCAAGGGATGTGAAATAAAACAACAACTTTGTTGTGTTAAAGATTTTTTTTATAGTATTTGGCAATAATTTTCTCTGTTAACAAGTCAAGCGTTAATGGAATCATTCAGCTATATAAATAATACATTTTTTTCATGAATTATACATCGATGAAATCACTAACCAACACTTAAGCGATTTCAAGATCAATGGGTTTGGTAGCAGTAACGATAATCAACAGTGACACACCCCGATTTAAACTATATGTATACTTACATTTATATTTTTGACAAATAAAAGAATAATAGTTTTCTTAAACTACAACGGCAATATAATTTATAGCAAAACAAAAATGTACTTAATTCTTCCACACCTACACATACAAATGCTTAAAATATGCGTATTGTTCTTGAATATTTCTGCAATTACTCAAATGACAATATATCGTTTCATTAATTTATAACCTAATTAATTTTAGCTGATGTGTGTACAATTGGGTATTATCTTTTGTGTCCGATCCAGTAGTCGAAAACCATTTTTGAAATTATGCATACCTTATAAGTAATCATATATAATAGAATTGACAATCTATCATCATACACAATATTATATGTTTGCGTCAAACATTTCAGTCGCTGAGGAATCGGACGTACGATCATTACGCGGCCATTTACTACTTGTTGCTGGAGAAACTCAAGCAGCAACAGTCGCAAGAGAACAGTAGTCACTATCTGCAGGATCGGCGGCTGTCGGAGAAACTATTCTCGTACGAACAGCCGCAGCTGTTCACCGGACACTCGAGCCCCAACAAGCGGGCGTTGATCGACTGTCCGGCCGGTCACCAGTACATGCAACCCGACCTGTGGAAGCAGCCCAAAACCAGTGCAGCCGTGCACCTGAACAGCGGCCACACGCCGTCCAACCGGCCGCGGTCGTACAGCCAGGGCCGGGCCGTGCAGCATTCCATCAACCTGGCCGACCTGTGCAAGTCGCCGCAACAACAGCACCCGCCGTTCAGAGAGTTGCCCCAGCTGCCCAAGTTCAAGGGCTGCAAACCGGACAAGATCGACATGGTGCCGCACGACGACGGCCCAAAAATGTGCTACCACAACCGGTTGGATCACATGACCATGATGGCGCCGCAGTACTCCACGTCGACGGACGAGGGCATCGAAACCGACCTGGAAGACGCGGCCGCGTCGTCTAGTAGCCCCACGCAACAGTCGCACCGGAATGCGGCTTACCCGTCCGCGGTTGGCGGCGGCCCGGTGATCAAGAGCCACAGCCAGAATCTTGCGGATCACCTGCAGTGCGCGGCCAACTTGCAGCAGTTCGAGTCGGAACTGCAGGTGTCCAGCCTACCGTCGTGCGCCAACGAAATGAAGTACGCAGCGGACTGCACGGCGATTTGCACGGCCGCGGCTGCAGCGGCGGCGACCAACGGCTGTCCGCCGCCGTCGTGGGACAGACGCGCCTCGTTCTTGGCGCACAACCACAACTCGGCCGGCGACGGCGTCCGACCGCGCGCCGACAACATGTCGCCGGCCAGCTTCCGGGAAGGCAGACGGGCGTCGGACGGGCTGATGAACCAGATCGACCCGGCGGTCATGGCCGCGGCCGTTGTGGCGGTGGCCAACGCCGTGCAGTCGTCGTCGCCCAGGTCGCCTCAGCTGCAGCAGCAGTACAACGGTGGTCGCATGCCGGTCGGCGGCAACGGGAAGTTGTTTCAGATGCAAGAATGCGGCGGCGTGCAGAAAGAACACGAGACGCTCAAGATGCTGTACCAGAGCTGCCTGCCCAACGACGAACAGGTGGCGCCGAACCGGAAACAGGCGGCCGGGGCCGAGTACCGATCCGGCAAGGACGTGCCGCCCAGGTCGCCGTCGGCAGCCATGGCCAAGCGGTTCAACTACACGGACAATTATGCGCTGGAAAAGTCCGGGCTCCAGCAGCAGTTGTTCCAACAGCGATTGCTCCAGCACAAGCGGACCGCGTTGCACAAGCAGGGCGCGGCCGCGTCGGCGGCGGCGTTCGGTCAGTGCGGCGTGACGGCCGCCGACTTGTCGGTCAACAAGCGGCAGCACCACGCTCACCGGCAGCCCTCGTTGCAGTATAACAACAAGACCGCAGTACAACTTTCGTCGCCCCAACACGGCGGTGGCGGCGGCGGTGGCGGCAGCGGTGGTGGTGGTGGCGGTGACGGCCACGGCCACGGCGCGATGCAATTCCAATCGGACGGCAGCTGGCAATCGTTGCCGCACACCATGGCCACGTGTCAAATCAACGACTTCGACAGTCAGGCTAATTGGCTGTCGGTGCCTGATCCGCAACATCATTGGTACTGCACGTCTGGGCAGCAGTACAACTTCTCTAAGAATTATTCACAGGTGACCGTTCATATATATATATAATATATACCTAATTGTTTTTTTATATCATAACAATAAAAGTATATACCTAACATAATATATATATATATATATATTATAAAGGCACAAAATATCTCGACCTAGGTTATAACCATATTAACTGAGATTTAACTCTTCCGGAAGTTAGCGAGAAACGATTTTTGTAGGAAAGGACAATGATTATTATAATTTATTATTCTTATATACACTTATACGTGATTGTTTTTCGATCGATCAGTAAGATACATAGTTATCTAGTTTGTGACCGTGGACGGTATTATATCTTAGAAAGTGTACGTGTTACTCAGGATTTCCTTATACGCCTCCGACTTATCTATATAGATAATCTATTTTTGGCCTTAAATAAAGGATGTACTTATATATTATGTTGTGTTACATCATCAACAAAAACTTGACCATTTATTTTTGGGTTATTTTTTTCTTAAAAATTTCCTGTAATCATTAAATTTAACCGCCCGACTACTAATTTTAATTGTGTAGTTTTCTGTAGCTAAAGCAGCACGCTCGAATCGTAGATTTGCTGCCACTGACTAATGAGTACAATAATCCTGTTGTAATAATATGATCTGACAAACTGTTTGTTTAGCCGCTTAACGTGATAACATTTGAATAGATTAATTAGACTTTAAATTTTTTGAACATTCATTTTATAAATATAATAGTCTTAAAAAGTTATCTCAAATTAAATCAGGTCATTCTACATTAAACAATATGATAAATATTATACATTGACGCTCCTGAGGTCATGACGCGTGTGCAGTAGGACTAATCCTTGTATATTGTCGACAATTCCAGGTAATGGGTATTATTTATTATTCATTCATTTTATTCTTTGAATTCGATTCAGAAATTATTCATTTCTTACACAATAGCTCACGAAGCTGTGTACTTGACATTTATTTTTAAAATTAATGAAGATAACTCTTCTAATATTGTCTAAAGAGTTAATTGCATCCTTACATAGTTACATAGATTAAAGTAGTAAATAAACTTACTCATTAGAGTAAAGAGGTTAACGGACTATATGTCATGTGAACTCAGATAATAAATATATATTTTTACTCACGTGGTTATATTGATTAGTTTATTTTTCTCTTTATAATGTGACCGATGGTCATTACAATTAAATTATCACTTATTATTAACAGACTTAGATTTTATTATTAACAGTTTTCAAAAAATCGAGTAATATTTTTTTAAATTTTATATTTTCTATTAAATATCTATACACATTTATGTATAAATAATACCCATATGTTTTATAAACTTTTATTTATTGGATAATATATAATATATTTATACATATTTAATAAAGCGAGAATGAAGAACCTTGACCGAAATTTAGTACTGATTATATCATAATTACATCTTATTCCAATATATGTGTTTAACTTATCTTTAAATATAACTATTAACGGCATTTAAAAAATTTACATGTATAACTAATTAACCATTTAATTACACAATTTCATTAACATACAATGATGCTAATAAAAAACTTTTGATTATTACGATTACAATTATAAATATTTCAATTTCTAGGTAAATCCAAGATATCTAAATTTAAATAGTGAAATAGTCATTTTTTAACAAGTTTATTAAAATAAATCCTTATCATAAAATTTTTTTTTTACTAATGTAATATTCAAAAAAATTCAAACACATGTATTTTTTTTCTAATTACATATACACTTTGGACATCAATTAATAAATATAATTATTCATACAAATCATATTCAAGGTTAGAAAATCAAGAAAATCACAAGAAATTTTAAATAAAATTTTTTAAATAGCTGAATTTGTGCAAAATATTTTAAATACCTTTAATTAAATATTAAAACTGGAAAATTAATCCACCTTATCGCTATAACTAACATATAATCCAATAATTTGTTACAGAAAAGTAAATATAATTTTGGAAAACAAATAATGCCATTACAGTGAGATTAAATGTTTAAAATTGATAAGTTTTTACTCGTATATATTTACATTATACACATTACACAGCTAGGATTTCGTTAATTTTAAGTGGTGGGGTATAACTATGTAGATAATAAATTTGTGAGTAATATTTATTCATGCAAAGGTATTAATTAAAGTAATTTATTTATTTTATTTATTTTAAATTAAATGTCAAGACGACAATATATAGTTTGTAAACAACTGTATTATAACTTAAAATAATTGTTTTAATTTAATCAAAAATCACATAATATTAAACAATATTTATTTCTGCATACTATAGTAGTATAACAATAACAATTATCGCACGTTTAATTATATTTATCCGTGTATTAACCTTTACAAAATATAACTTAAAGACATTAAGTCTTTAGGTATTCGTAATTTATTAGACCAAGATTTATTGCTTTTATTTTTTTTTTATATGATTGAATTCATTATCTAAATTTGTAAATAATTCTTAATATAAGCATAATGATGAAGTAAATTATAAAAAATAGGGTTTCCTTGTAGTAAATTATCTTATTTTATTATTTAAATGTATTTTCTTATTAAAAAAATGAAAATGAGTTAAATTTTATTTAAGACACGAAATCATTTATTAAAAGGAAACCCTATTTTTATAATTTTCTTAGTTATTATGGTTGTATTAGGTATTATTTACAAGTTTATATATACTAGTTATTACTTATTACTTTACAGTAATTGCTTTCTATTAGGTAAATGTAATAAAAAAAAAGATGGATAATTGAATATTTATAATTGTATTAGTAAAAATAACAACAAACAAATTTCATGTATCATAATTTATACAAGAATATTTTGTTATAATTTTATTGTTTATTCGATATTTAAGTTCAAAGTATTTGACATAGTATAAGCGCGTGGGCACTGAGCTAAGTCCTTCAATGTTATAGAAAACTGTAGTATAACGAGTATAGGTAATAGGTAGTTAACGTCGTGTGGGTAATAATTGAAGACTTACAAGATTGATTTTTTGGCGGTAAAAGTCAAAAATAAAAACGTTTCTTAATTATTATTACTCATTATTAAACTAAAATATGAATAAAGTTAATTAATTGTATGCACTTAAATACATTTTATTCTATTTATATATTATATTTAATGATAGTTTGAGTAGTTGTTTTTATCCAATAATTATTATGTTACCTTATTTTTGTAGAAATAATGATTTAAACTATACCTAATCTTGAAAGTTTTAATTGATTTTAGTGCAATATATAATACTATACTAGTAGGAACTATTTTTAGAAGATTATATTATAATATATAACCCTTTAATATTACTATAAATATTGAACAATAACATATACATACATTTTATTAACGCTTTTCATGCGGAATTCACGTTTTGTTTTATTTTATATTAGTAAGATGACAAAAACATCCCACTGCAGTTTGGACTCTAATTTGGAAATAAGATTAGACTGTATTATATGTTTATGTAACTAAGTTAGCTCATTATAGATAATGAAAATCACAACCAAAACGACAAAAAATTATTTTCAAATATTACAAAACAAATAAAAAATAACAACTATATGTTACGGTTATATTTAAAAAACTTGTAATGTTAAAAACTTTTTAACTGTAATTTTATGTTATAAAATAAAAGTAGTTGCTGATATGATAAAGTAGTATAGCTATTAGTATGATGAAATAAATTTATTAGTTTCCTGTAGATATTATTGTAAAAATAGATTAATGATAATTTAAAATTTGGTTTTCTTTTTTTTTAATAATATAATTTTTTTATTTTGTTTTTAATTTTTATTATATTCATATATTATGCTTGCTATATTTTATTATAAAATCAAACCATAAACATAATTATTATATTAAGTATACTAATCAAATCTACAATCCTATATACCAGCGGTTCTTAACCTTTTATAGATCGTGGACTCCTGATCAGAGGTTTTTGGAAATCCCCCTTAACAATTTTTTTGAATACTTTTTTTTTACATAATATCTCATGTTATCATAGCAAAATGTAGGTATAATACTTTTTATTACTCTTAATTTTTCATAAAAAAAAGTAATATAAATAAGATAAAATATGTCTAACTTTTTATTTATTAAGATTTATTATGTATGAAAAGAAAATAAGATTCCAATAATATTGTAATAATGCACTCGTGCTACGTATTGACGTATGTTATGTGTTAAGGTTGTCGTGGACCCCCCAACATGAGTATCACGGATCCCTAGGGGGCCACGGACCATATAGGTTAAGAATCACTGCTGTATATTATTATAATTTATAATTGTGTGCACTAGTCATATAGATTATCGGCTACACCTTGCATACGGTATATCTTCAGTTAAATTACATATTTTGTATATTACTTAATATATTATAGTATTTTTTTATAATTTCAAATAAACTATGGTAGGTACATTACTATTACTTGTTACTCTTGTTAGTACATAGTCTACGTATAGCCTATTATTATAATAGTAGACAAGAATAACACTAAAACAGTTATTACATACATAGGCGTGCGCAGATTTCTAAGTCAGATATGGTTAAATTCAATCTGACCACTCATCCTTCTCCTCGTCAAAATCACACAAGAAAAAATTATGCATATGGGCAATCAGTATATCTTTAATCGAGTAAATATCTATGATTTATTCTGTTATTGTTCTTAGGCTATAACGCCTTATTAGTTTTTTAAGTACCAAGTACCCTCCCCCGTAAAAAAAGATCAGAGGGGGGGGGGAGCTAAAGTCCAATTAATCCTACCGGTGCGCACGTCTATGAATACAAATAACCGTTACAGTCAAAGTATTGATGTAGCCTCTAATTGATTGTGTATTGATCGGACGTGGGCGTATAATATACGTACTTGATGCAATGCCAGATTTAGAAAAATGGAGGCTTTCCAGGACCCGTTCTTATTGCCGTGGTTCCATTTTCCATTGCATATGTATATTTAATATTGGTACAAATATGACTTATACAATATAATTAAAATAATATTAATATATTGCATCAAATAATAGATTACATTTAACTTTTGAAATGTAATTATTATATGTGATACTTACAGGCTAAATGAATAATATAGTAGGTATATATACATAAACTAAACTTAAAAAAATCCCATTGTCTGAATTTCCTCCTACTTTTCTCTAAATTTGGTCCTGAACTCACACACAAATAAATAATAATAATGATCATAATGATTGAGCCGGGTACACAAATACTCGATAAAAGCGATACTACCTGTAGGTATCATATATTTTATCATTCGAGTCGGTTTTATTCAGACTGTATAATATTATATTACGAACCATGATTATTACGAATAAACTTTTGACAGTCTAAAATCTACCCCTACGATGCTTTTTCGACGGAGTACGTTCTTATGCCACGCTATTCTGTAGCAATGCTATCATAACGATGATATAAATTACCTATACATTTGTAAGTAATAAAATGAATTATGACCAATGTTTATTTTCTGGCAATTTATTTTGAATCTGTGTATCTATACGAAATATATACGTGCAATTTATTTCATATGTCAAACGTGGTTAAATGTTGATCAATAAGATCAGTTTTAAAACTGAATTAGAAATTACGGGGGAAAATGATACAGTAAAATGATCAAATAATAAAAAACAAGTGTTTTAAATATTTGTTTATATCAATATTAAACAATATATATAGGTATCATAAAACCTTCATACAGTTATTTTAATCCTTCTGAATGACCTACAAAATAATACGTTTGGTTGTGTTAACAAGAGGCATTCTCATAATATTTATTATATCAAATCGTGTTATTCAATACCGATATGGCGGTATACACATAGATTAAATATAATAACGTAATACTAATTAATATGCTATAGTAGTTTTGTTATAAGTTTAAATTTGTAATTTCCAATGTATGTTACAGCTCAGCAGTACAGTAAACGTGCCAATGGGTAGTTCTTTGTTGGCGGCCAACGACGTGATGTGGACATCGCCAAGACTGCAATCGTTGTCGGAAAACACTATTTCGGAACTCGGAGAACAAATGGAATCCGGTTAAGTTCATGTTCTGTCAAGTTTGAGAGGTGTGTATAATTTAATATATTGATAGGTATTTGATATTTGTTGATTCTATTCTCTTTACATCAAATCGCTAACAGCTCTTAGTATCTAGTATTTGTAATCAAAAATTAAATATATGTTTTTTGAGTCTTATTAATATCAGACTAGTATTTATATATAATGATCTTTTATTTTAGGCTCTTTTCTGGATTTTTATTTACGATTTATATAGTGTGTTTAATGATAAAGGTACCTAACACGAAATATTTAGAGTGATAACTCTAAATATCTTTTTGGGGGTGTTTTTTTTTATCGCATAAAGGACTAAATATTAAATAGGTACCTAATTTATTTTTGAAAAAATTTAATTTTTTAAATGATTTCAATAAATGCGGGCCAACTTTTTTTTTATTTGTGCATTCCGCATTTTTTAATTAAAATTTAAATTAGGTAACATTGTTACATAACTTTGACTCATTGAGACTAATTTGATAGTGAGTTAGTGTCGATTTATGCATGTTGAATTTATGATATTTTTTAACAACCTATTTACAATTTTAAATTTCGTGTGACATATTTTTTTTAAGCTTAGATGTGATGTCATAAGTACGAAATCTCATAAGGAACTTTGTAAAATTTTAGATTGACTATTAATATATTCGATAAATATACATGTATAAATTGAAACTTTTGCAATAAGTAAATTTTTAAGATGAAAAGCTTTAAGTTAAAGTTGTTTAAAAAAATTTTAAAACTTAAACCTGAAGTAATAAAGGGAGGTAAAAACGTTTAGTTAAATCCAGGGTCATGCATGGCCCACGCATGCGTTCGAAATCGTTACCTTTATAATATTGAACACGCTGGATATTATTCTATGCATTATGTATACCTACTTAATTATGAGCTATGAATATTATGACTACATGACGTATATTGTGGTTTCCTTGATATTGTGATTTAAATACACTGAATATTGATGTATATATTATACATTTTTTTTTTTAGATCTCAGACTCGCAAACAAAATTATTATCACATAGATATTAAGCATATTTTATACAACACACACTCAACTACTCAAGTACTCAACATTCATTAGATGAGACATCATGTTTTTACTACAATATTAGACATATTTGAGTTGGTTATTTTTTTTTTTTTTTATATATATATATTCATAACTATGGTTTTTGTTTTAAGTACATCTTAGAATTCACCGATAAGTATATTTGTAATCGAAACAATCCAATTTGTGAAATAAATGGTTTTTAATCGTATTATTCTATGATGTTTTAAGGTACCTTGCAAGTCGTGTAATGGCTATTTGGCCTACTCAAGGTATTTGATTAAAATATTATATTGTTTCTAAAGACATGGGTACTGTGTTGCAAATTTTATTTTATGAAAGTCAACGTTGTAAGTGCATTTGAATTATTTTACACGTACCTACTTTGATGAAAACACCCTAGTTTTTCAATTAGACTTGTATGATTATTACTTACCTACTCGTCATTAGACCATGAACTAATGTCTAACACTCATCACCCATGTATTTGAACTTTATAAATTACGCCACATCACATTAGTTTTCATTGCTGCATCGATACGTTTTGATATATTCAAAGAAAATACCTACGATTACATGTAAACCAATATATTATTTTTCTTATAGGTACATCATTGTTTTAAATGAAATTAAATGACATGCAACTGCATAGGCGTAACTAGACCTTAAAGTTAAGGGGGGCTTCAGCCCTAGAATTTTTATTATAAGTAAATTAAGTGGGAGGCTCTGCCCCCCATACCCCCCCCCCCCAAACACCTTACATTCATTGATTATACAATATACATATAATATGAATGTAAATTAATATTTAATTATAAAACAAATAATAAGCCAAGTGGTATTGAGGTTAAATATATATATATTAACATATTATTAAGTATTATTTTAGATATAAAGAATTTAACGATTTTTAGTTTATTGACAACTTCTTAGTAGGGAGTATTTGTGTAGTAAAAATTACACAACGTTATACGTCTTACACTGCAGGATCATTACATACAATAATATAGTTTAAATTAATATTTTTCCAAGATATTAAATAAAAAAAATAAAACGATATTTTAAATTTAAGTTTAAAAATGTTACTAATATTGGCGGGAGTGTGGGACTAGGAATTATGACGGGGGGGGGGGGGCTAAAAATTATATTGGGGGGGACTAAGCCCCCCCAAGTCTCCCCTAGTTACGCCTATGTGCAACTGCAAATACTAAAAATGATCTTTAATAAGTTATGTGGAAATGTGGAATATCTATACGGGAAGCCGCAACCTTGTAATGACGGCTGAATTCAAAATCATGATATGTTAATGCGATAGAAAAACAATAACGGTTTATTTAAATCTTAAATCATCAAACTCAAAAATAAAGGTCTTGTATTAAAATGTATTTTATATTCGAATTATAACTAATGGTATGCAACCAGATTGTCCAACTTAATCGTTATGCAGTCCATAAAAGTATACTTACCTAAATGATTTCCGATTTATGATGAATGATCAGTATTACTTAACCCATTTTGTTGTACATCAAACATTGAAAATAAAATGTGCAGAAAAAGTTAAATATTAATTTCTAGTAATAGGTATTGGTAAACGGTAAACATTTAGAAAACTAGCCAGTAGCTATGCTGCACTCGTATAATGGAGTAGAATTTTTAACAAAAGCTACTAAAAACGAATATGAACTTAATTTTGTGATATATAAGGTAATATGAATATTGGGAAACCTTGAACATTGATTAAATATATAACTATTTAACAAATGTCTTAATATAGTCTGAACAATGGCGTGTCCAGAATTGTTTTTAGGGGGGAGGGCCACACTGTCTAAAATTTTACCGAATATAAAATAATATTGTACTACCAAAAAGAAAAAAATCAAGCAAGTCAAAGGCATAGAAAGCAAAAAATATAAAAAGGGTTCGTGAGCAGCTAGTTACTCAAGAGGCAATAGAAGTTAATACTCTCAATAATAAAAAAAAAAGTATAAAATACGGCGAATTAGGGGGGGGGGAGCACGGGCCCCATAAAAAAAAATCAATTTAATAATTAATAATATACTATAGTTTCATATCAAGTCAAAATGGTTGTCACTCTCATTTTTTAAAACAAAAAATTCTATTTAAATTATAAAAAAATTAAAATATTATCCAATTTTTAAACAAAACTAAGCACTTTCCATGTCAAGAAATTAAATTCTTTTGTATTTTACTTTAAGATAAACTCTAATTGTTGAACAAGTACTAATAAATTCCTTTAGACCCCAACAAATATATGTTTAAACTAATTTTTTTTTTTAAGTAATAAATAAAATAGAGTTGTTTTTTAATAAGTATTCTTCAACCTGGCATGAATAAACAAATTTGGAAATTATAAGTCAATTCCTCTATTAAGATATGTAAAAAAAATGTAGTTTAACGATCAATCACTATATGTATAGTAAAAAACCATAAAAAATCATATTACAACTAAATTTTTAATAAAAGAAAATAACATATTGTACACAAAAATCTACCTATAAACAAAGCATTTTAATTTATCTGCCTTGTGAAAACATATCACTGCCTGTTTGTCTCGCTTTAAGCTTAGCTTGTTCAGGTGTTAATGATTCTTCCTCACTGGGTTCTATAGGTTCAAAATTTTCTTTCAGCTTGTTGTTCTTAAAATCATCAACAATCTTTTTTCGATAAACAGCATTGAATAAATCTTTCGCTGTAAATTCAGATTGAGTAATTTCTGGAGCTCTATATGATACGTATGGTTTTAACTGAAAACAAAGTCATAATATGTAGTACAGAATTATTCTCCATTAACACTTATTCATGACTATATTCTGATACTTACATTGAAATCATCCAAATTCGGAACTATAATATCTGGAATTTTTTCTTGAACAGTTATTAGTTTACGGCCAACTCTGACAGTGGTGTCTCGTATTCCATAATCTATTTTTTTTTAAACAATAACATTAATTACTAATGAGTTATGATAAATATAATTCAAATATAAGTAGAACAATTTATTTGTTTTGTATAATTACTGGTTATTTGAAAATCCTTATTAGGGTTTTCTTCTTGTTGTTTTCTGAATTGATTTGTTCCTCGATTGTGCAGTATGAAATTTTTAAAATTTCGCTTTCCATATCGTACAGAGCAAGTGGAAAATGATCTAAAAAAGGTTTTCGCCGGGAGAGACATTTTGGAAAATATTTCTGAAAAATAAAAGTTCTATGTTCAATGTAGGGTTGTAAATTTTTAAGACAACAGTTAAAGACAAGTATTTTTTATTTTTTATACTTAGAGCAGGTAAAACAAAAACTAATGAGTAAATTTAACACTTTGTTGTTATCACTTATCAGTATTTAGTAAACATTATCAGATACCGGCTTATCATTATCAATTTGCAAGGATGTCATATAAAAATACTACTTAATTTTATTAAGTAAAAACCTTGGTAGCAATGGTACAATAAAATCATACCCTACACTACAGATTGAATTATGTTACAATTTATTTATTTATTCTATGGCTACACTGATAGATAGACCATTACTGATTTACATTTAAATTTCTGCGTCTTGCAGTTGTGTACTTGTGTCATAAACTCATAACTCATAATCCGATATTTGTGATATTACTAAATAATAATTGATTTGGTACATCTTCATTTATTTTCCGAATGCCTTTTTTTTTTTTAAATAGGCTTAATTAAACTATAAATAATTATCTAGCTTTAAAAATATTTCGTAATCTTCAATTAAATTATACCTTTTCTAATTTTTCCATTCTATTTTAAATAGTATATTATTATGGAATACAAACACAAATTACAAGTGTATTTACCTAATTCATTATACATAAATAATAATATACATTATACATATTATACACTTGTTTATTACAATCATAGACGCTTTAATGGTTGGGTAAGCGGACTGCATATTTTTACGTATAAAACTAGAAAATTTCGTTGGAAACTGGAAAGATAGCTGTTCACTCTGTTATTCTTATGGAAACGTTTGTGTACATAAATATATAATAATACTTAACTCCACATGATGTTGCCCGCGATAAATTGAATAATGTCAGTTGAAAAATACGTTCTAAAATGATACTAGCAGTTGTTTCATATTTGAGTGGTTTTATCGAAAATATATATTAATATACAGGTCCTAATTCCTAAAATTATTTATAATTAAAACGACTATTACAGAGTATATAATGCTGTTTCAAAAAAATCCGACCAAGAAATAACGATTTTTTATTTTTGCCCATTTTGACCACTTTAGGGGTTAAAATTTGAAAATATCCTTTTTAAGTGGGTTTTTATATTATAAAACAAAACTACTTTGAATTTCATACTCATAATTTTAGAGCGGTTTTGCCTAGATGATTATGAATCAGTGATTACTTAGTGTTATTTTATATAATATATTTTATTATATAGCGAAAACCTTCAGAACAAATGTATTTTATCATTAAAATATTTTTTTAAAATTGAAAATTATTATTTGTTTTTTTATAGTTTTTGAAATTTATTTCTAGTTTATTTAGTAACTATAAATTATTAATCTAATAGTCCACAAAAATCATGCAAATGCAACAACTTCCAAGTACTATAAATAATTCACTATTTGGTGATCATTATATGAGATATCCACATTCCCCAGAGCAATAATTAGAGGGTTTCTATTTTAATAATTGAATAATTACCATTATTATTATAACTCTGTGAAATAAAAACAAATACACAGTCATCAAAATTATATAGTAGGTACTTGAACTATTTTTTGTTTTTAAATAATTATTAGTTGTAAAAATGGAGATTATAATTTCAACTATTTTTATAAAATTGGTTATAAATTATGTTAAACTTACTTAAATTTTGTATTTAAAAAATATCATAATACAATTATTATATATTTTTATGTTACTTGCTTAGTGTTTTTTACAGGTATAGTTTTTTCTTGTTAATTTTGTAGGTGTTCTTATAGATCATCTATCTTGAAAACCATAACAAAATAAAAACAATGACTTGCCTACACATTATTTAGATATAGGTATTAGTATACCAGTACTATGGAAATATCTTTAATTATGTCCAAGCCCGTATCAAGAGCTTCAGGGGTCCAGGGACCAATACATGGTTGTGGGCCCCCGTCAATAAAAACAATTCTTTAAAATTATAAAATTATATAATAAAACAAATTTAAACATTTTTATTTAAGTATGATAACTATTGATGAGGATAAAAATATTAAAAAAATATTATATTTTTATTAAAATATATATTTACACATAAAATTAAGTTTTGTTTATGTAAACAGGTTTAGTCGGTAGGTATCTGAATTATGAGTATTCATGACCAAGACAGTCACATAAACAAATTTTTCCAATTCTATTTTTAAATACAGTAATATCAAAATATATGCCTATTCCCAACAAACACAAACATGGCTATGACGCTATGTTTCCCCACTTACCATACTATTGGTGGTAAACACGGTCGACGGGCCCCATCAACTGTTAGCTCAAACAAGAAAAAAATAAAAATATTTTTGTAGGTACTATAAAAAGTACAAATTATCACTTAATGTAATTTTAAACTGAGAAAACTATGGGCCCTTAACACACGTGGGCCCCGGGGACTTGGCCCCTCCTATCCCCCCCTTACTCCAGGCTTGGTTATGTCATTTAATGTGCATGATTTAAAAAAAAAAAAATATTCAGTTAATTATGCATTTAATATTTATTTATTGTAAGGACATGAGTCATAACATACACTTAAATTTATGTCAGCTTTGTATCTATTAATATATAAACTTATTAATTGTATTCTATATAGAATAAAATACATAATTAAGTTGTTTTGAAACGTATTAAGCAATTATAACGTTTGCTATCGTGTATAGTATATCATCATCTACGTGGAGCTTGTTGTATAAATTTTAAGAGAATATCTTTTGTAACAGGTGTTTCAATGCTGTGGCAAATAGCTGTAAACATTGGTTAATAATTTTGTGAAAAAAAAAAATTTATACTAATAAATACATACCTATTGCAGTTTTGAGAGCATTTGGAAATGATTTGTCAGTTCGCTCTCGCATAAATTTCCAATTTCCGTTTTCAAATTTGCATTCAATAATTTTTCCATCCATGTTTCTAAGTTCTTTATTATATTTTATTCGGGCAAAGGGATCAGATTTACCACCTACATATAAATATCCAACTTTCGATTCTAATATTCTAAACGTAAAAAAATCTGTTAGTATATTTTCAAATTATTTTTATATAGATTACACAATATATTAATACCCAGTTCCACCTTCTGTAACAATTTTAAGTCTAAAATCAACAGAATTCAGTTCCAATGGCTTCCATTTCAAAACTTCAGGACACGTACCAGCTACATAAGGCTGTGTAAAATTAAATATAAGTTATTGGCAATCAATGTATTGCTACCAAATGTGATAAATATAATAGTACGTCAGTGGATGGTTGGAATATGAGACCATCAGGTTCATGAGATAAATTTTTACTAAAATTTCCCAGCAGTTTATCTGAGGCATTAATGTCATAGAATTGTTTCAAACGAATACTAAATGGTTCTTGAGATTTGTCTAAACGACCACACATAATAGCCTGATGTCTGGGTTTAATTATATCAACCTGAAAATAAATTGTATTTTTTAATAATCATTACTTTTATTTTAGATATGCATTTTAGTATAGATCATAATTCTCAATAATGTGAACCCCGACAGCTCAAAATTTTAAATTATTAATAATATCTTAAAAAAATTGTAAAATAAATAAATCTTTCCATAAAATATTTGATTCACTTATAACTATTTACATTTATCATGAAAATTTATACTTCTTTAGTTTTAATTGAAATTAGAAAATTAAAGTCTACTAATATTTTGTATTATTATATTGTATAATTATTACTTACTTCAATTAGCATATACCTATTGGGATAAAATGGTTGTTTACCAACATCAAAACCTTCAAATGCAACAACATCATATACTAAATAGCGAGGTATATTTTGGTCATCAACTTTATCAATAATCATTTCCTAAAACATTACAAATTTTGGGATTTAGTTTTAAATTACACAAATATTACATAAGTACTTTGTTTAAAGTCTATTTACGCCATCTAATAAAGTGTCTTTCAAATGATGATCTAGATTTTTTCTGTGTAAAAACTTCAAGCCCTCTACTTCAAATACACTGTTATCTCTATCAATAAAATATATCTCATTTTCGCCTTGGATAAACATTAAATACCTATTAAGTATAACATATTTTAAACAAATATAAATTATAATACAAGTTATTTCATTTTTATTTAATAAGGTATTAAATTAAAAAAATGTGTGATGTTATATTACCTAGTACCATCAGCTTTCCATGTAACACGGTAAGGTTTTGTATGTAATAATTTCATATTCTGAATATCCATAGACACTGGCTGCGATCCAGGAAATCCAGATCTAAACGATTTTTAAAGTAAAAAACTGAGTATATTACAAATTTATATAAATATTATAGCCAATAATTGTAACAAAAATTGTAACATTTTATTTATTTAATTATAAAATAAATTGTTTAACATATGATTATGCAAGTATTATACAAGATTTGTAAATAACATAGAGATATTTGACAGTTTTCAATTTGTCAAAACTTCATAATATGATATTAATTAATACATGAATTATTTTATTTCAATGTATTTTTCATAAGTTTTAACTTATTAATTATTCTGCTAGGAGTATCAGTACTAAATATTTATGTATAATCAAATATAATAGAAAAATAATTTATTTATAACAAATAATTCTATCTCATATTAATATTAAATATAGTTATTTAAATGCATTCTTACTTTTTCCATTTGCATAAGTCTTGAGTTCTTCTTTGAATGCTGCTTAATCTGGGTTGATCAAAAATAGCAGTAACACCTGATACACCTTCCATAAATACAGGATTACGATTATTTATCTCATTTCTTGACCGTTTACTAGAACTAAAAAAAAAAAAAAAAAATAATTAATATGACTGTTATGCAGATTGATTCACCAAGAATATTCACAACTATCATGATGGCTTGAAACTTAAATTAATTTGCCAAAATCTATATTTAAAAGCATAACATTATAATATTTTGACACTTAACACAAAAGTAGGATAACTTATACAAGTATGTTAAATGGTTAAAGCTGGGTTGATTTAAAATATTCTTATTAATGATAAATCATTAGTTTATATACAATTTAATAATTGATTACATCAGTTATTTGTCACCACAAGAATTATTCATGTATTTTTATTTTTACTGTGCTTGCATAATAAATGAATTATTATAGATATTAGTTTTACAAATTTAATTAATATAAGTTTTCAAATACTTAATTTAAATAATTTTTTAAAAAAATATAAGATTTAAAATTTAAGAATGCTATCATAAATATTTTAAAATATAGTTAGGTCAAAATGTTTAAAATATATGTAAATAGAAGAAGGTTATAATCCAATAGAATTCTACAGAAGATTTGTAAAAATAATGACAGGTAAAGATAAAGTTATAGTTTACATTTTGAATTTTTAAGTATTCTTATAACAGCATGTTTAATAACTTATAAACAACTAATTATAATTTGTTTTAGCAACAAAGAAGTCTGTATTGCTAAGAATTTTTTTTAAATGACATAGGGCCAAAAAAAATATATTTGAGGTATTAAAAGTATTTAAAAATATGATTTCAAGTATACTTGAATTCCTAAAAATTAAATTTTGAATACATGTATAATGTATATATATAATTAAAGGAAAAACTAGAATATTCTTGGTGAATTATGATGTTTAATTGTTTAAATAAATATTACGGTTCATGTTCTCTTCTATCTTTAGAGTCATGATCTCTGAATTCACGTTTATTTCTCGAAGATGATTCATGTTTACTTGAATTATAATTATCTTCTTCGGATTCTAAAACAATCAATTATTTCCATTAATTTATTTATAAGTTGAACAAATAAAATTAATAGTTTTGAAATATTCTATATAATAATAGCAATACGCACCTAAACACCAATCTGGAAGTTCTGGAGCTAGTATAGGTTCTTCATCTGAATACCGTTGAAATAGCTCAACTATATAATCTTGTTTGTAAATTCCAGGAGGTCTAAAATACATATAATTTAAAATCGTATAAAAAAAACATTTATAATTTGTCTAACTATATTTAGATATTTTATTTTTTGAGAATAAGAAAAAATTTACTTAATACACAATTTATAATTTATAATAATTTTCTTATCTATATGGTTATGATAAGTTTAATAAAAATTATTAATTAGTAATGACTTATTATTAGAAAGTGGATTATTGAATGCATGCCATATAATTCATGTATATTTATTCAAATAAAGCACTTAATATAAACATTGTGTAACAAAAATATTAAAATGTTCAATTATAACTTAAAACAAAAATCTAAAAATGCTCTTTCTACTGACAATATATAGAGTGAATAGCCAAAAATTCTTACTTTCTTCTTTTCTTTAATAATACAGTTATTCAAAATCTGATTTTTGGAATTTTTAGATATGTTTAGACTTTATTATTAGATTATAGAGGTGTTTTTTTTTTTTTTTTTATCATTTTAAGGAGTGTTCTGAGGGAATACAAACTATTATTTTCAAATAAGAACCAACCTTTCTCTACTGTAAATTATTTAGTAGGAATATTTTTTTTAAATGTTGACATAATAAAATAAAAATTTAATTGAGTAGTTTTTGAGTTATTTAACTATGTGTACTGAGGAAAAAATGTTCATGATAATGGATTTATACATTATCAAAATACATATACATTAAGAATTATGTTTTTCTATTTCCAGTTATTAGTTTAAGGAATTTCAGTATTTAGTATATACTATAAATAAATTAAGTAATTTTAGAAATAATTAGAATAAATTATATTTTACCTAGCTGCTGCAAATTGAGCTAGGGCACTAGTTACATCAAAATCTAATGTTTCTATTAAATAAGTAGCTATCATAAATCCTGTTCGGTTAAAACCATGAGTGCAATGAACACCTAAAAAAAAAAGTAATAATGATTAATATAGGTTAAAGTAAAATAAATAAATAAATAAATTACAACTAACCAATGCATAATAAAGGATTTTTTGCGATAAATTTTGAACAAATATCTACAAATAATTGCGCTTGCTCTCGTGTAGGTGGTTGTTCATGACCAGCACATGGAATTTTTACATACTTACAATCTGAATCTTCAATTTCAGATTTATCATAAAAACGACTAGTTTTGGTCAGATCAATCCATAAACCTATACTCACCTAAAACAATTTAATATACTAAATAAAATATTAATTTATTGAACTTTACATAAAATAAGTAATTATACTAATTCAAATGTTGTAATTTGACATTTTATTATCATTCTAAAATTTTAAAATTTAAATTTAGAGCAAATGTAATGGCTATTGATTTAATAAGTATGTGTATTTTAACAAAAAACGTTGGAAGGGGAGAGCAGTAAAGACATTTTAAAAATAAATATTAAAAGATTAAACACAAATGTTTCTCCTTTTTAGTACCTTAAAAACATCAAGAAAAAAAATAGAACATTAGTTAAGATTTGATCAGAGTAGTTTCCTGAATTTTATGATTAATTATTGCTTTCTAATTAATAATAATGATACAATACTGAGTATATGACGTGTTATATTATTAAAAAAAAAAAAAAATAAAAAAATCAACTGTTTTTAAATAATTGAATTAATATTTAAGTTATTACTCATATATACATGGTATTATAGTAATAATATAATAATTATGTTTGTTTATTAGTAAAATAATTCTTTTAAGTATCAATGCTACTTTATGATTTAAGAGCCAGTTTGTTTCTTATTAATTTTCTTAAAAAGATTAAAGAGTATTACATAATACCTTCATATTAGACATTGATGAGAACAACATTTCTGTATTGAACCTATTCTGGATAGGTATTTGATCATCATATTTACTATCCAATGGTGTTTTGAATGCTACAAACTTTTCGGTAATAGTCGTGTAAGATTTACGAGGACATTTAAGCCACCGTTCAGGAATAGGGGGACTATGTGACGAATATGAAGAGCTAGATCCAAAACGCTTTGAACCTGCAAATTGTTTGTTTAAAATACATTTGGTTAACAAACAATAATGTTTTTGGGTTAGATATTTAAAGCTATTCTACTATACTGTTATATTTTCATATGTTTTTTGATTTACCCGACATAATTATTAATTTTTTCACAAATTCTAAGAAATCATCTTATTGTAAATTAAATGTGATGCGTCGACATGAATCATAATATGTATTTGGTTTTATTTAAAATTATAAATAAACAATATATAATTAAATAAATTAAATATTATGATAATTGAGCTTAATAGTTAATATTTAATAATAATAGAATAGGATTATGATAATAATTCGTAATGATATTAAACACAAAAACAGTAAAATACGTCAAAGAAGTTTCATCACGAAGATGTCGAGAATACTAAGTAGTAAATAGCCGTCTTTTCATTGACTCTTTACTCTTTACTCTTTAGTCGTTACCTGTCCTATATCAAGTATCAACGATGATAAATTGATAACGTTGTTTACTTCTTCGAAGATACAAACAGTATTTTTACTGTTCCATGATGTTCCGACAGCTTTTTTTCTCGTGCGAACGGTAAGTTTTTCGGTTCTAACTTCTGTACCAACAAACTTGTTAAAATCTCGTACGAATCAAATTTTTTCCGATTTTATAATTCGGCATCGGCTATCCGCTATCCGGCTTATTAGGTGTGCGTTTTGAACTGTTTTTTGCAAGTATTTATGATTTATATTTTTTTTTTTTTAAATTTTTTTTAGTTTGAACTTCGAACTATCGACATGGCCGAGTATCTGGCATCCATTTTTGGTACCGAAAAGGATAAGTAAGCAAAACAATACCAACTGGCTCGTTCGGTTGTTTTATATTTATTACAATACGATTTTAGAGTTAATTTAAAAAAGAAGAGCTATTTGTTTTGAATGCGGTTGTTGTAAAATAAAATCACCGACTTATGCATGGTTATAATTGTTAATTTTTTTCCTTTTAGGGTCAACTGTTCATTTTATTTTAAAATCGGTGCTTGCCGTCATGGTGATCGCTGTTCAAGAATTCATAATAAGCCCACTTTCAGTCAGGTGAGTTTTCATTTAAATATTCTCTAAAGTTTCACATTTAAATGTAAGTACTAAAATATTAATATCAAGTTTCCATTTAAAAATATAATTGTTACTTTATAAGTACATATTAAAAGCTAAATTGGCGTTGCTAATTATTTAAATTGTGTAAATTTTATTTTAAAAAGATTTATTAAAAGATTGGTATTTTAGTTAAAAAATGTTTGTTGCAATGTTAAGAATCCAAATGAAAATAGTAAATTGGATTACATAAACTTAAAGAAGAGTTCTTTTGTTAAATATGCCTCTAGATGTTTCCATTCATAAATTTATCTATTAAAAAGTAAAGAGTATATTATTTTTTTAAACAATTGGGTATTATGTATTATAGTAATACTCTGTCATATGGTTTTATTATATATTAAATATAATATATTATACAACTTTTTGTTTTAGATAATAATTATTATAATATATACTTTAACATACTATTTTAAATAAATATGAGTATATAATATGAGATATCTATTAAATATGGAATTAAATTCCTAGTTGACAATCTCTTGTGAGAATTGCAATTTTTTCAATGATATTGGTATAATAAGTAATCATAATTTTTTTAATTAATTTTTATTGAATTTCAGACATTTTATTGAAAACTAATAATATTTAATATAATTTTATTATAATTCACCTTACACCTTAGTTTTATTTATTCCAAAAAATATATATAAACCTTTATGCTAGGTGTTGTATTAATTCAATAATACTATATTATATTAGAATCATAGTTTTATAAATCTGATATAAACTTAAATCTAAAGTACTTAAAAATGCATTGGTTAGGTCATTCAAATTCAAACAATATATCTTAAAGAACCTCTAAAAAATTCTTCTAATATTATCTTTTAGTTAATTAGTCACAAGTATATTTAATCATAGTTAATATAATTTATGATTTTATTGTTAAAACTTTTATGATAAATTTTTTTTTTAGACTGTACTATTGCAAAATCTTTACGTAAATCCACAAAATTCTGCAAAGTCTGCTGATGGATCACATTGTAAGTAATAATGTTTAACTGAAATGCTATAGTTCCTGTCATATAAGTGAAATAATAAATATATTACTTTTTAATTTTAAGTAATAAATTAATATAGTATATTCTTTAAATGATAAGATTTTAAAACAATGTTTTTATAAACAGACTGATTAAATTGGTAATATAATTTAGTTATAACATATTTCTTTGAATAATATTAATATATTATTTTATTATTGATTGGTTGTGTTTCAAAATTAATTTTGATTTAAAAACATATTTTTATTTGGATAGAAATGTATAAAAAATTTTTTTTTGAATAAAACAACTTTATTAATAAATTATTGAAATTTATTCTTTTTAAAATACAATATCAACTGGTGAAAAATGTTTTTATTACAATTTATAATGTACTATTATAAATTTATAAATAAATAATAAATTTTCAATTAATATTAACTACATTGTATAGCTTTACTGAGTAGTTATTAGGTTTAATTTTTTACTTTTATGTTTACAGTCGTTGTCAAATATCTTGAAAGAGTGTACTCTTTCTTTGTAGTTTGAAGACTCTGCTCTAGCTTGAAGACTACGACTCGTCAGTGTTTTTAAAATTTAAATTAATTTTTTTTAATAGCCATTTTCATTCATTATTTATTTAAAATAAGAATAAACAAAATAATGAATTTTACTAAATCAATTCAGGTTGTCTGTTATAGGAGTGAATATGGATGTTTGCATCAATATGGAATTTTGACCAGTTTAAACAAAATATGTTGTTTTACTACTCCTTCAAGATATTTGATAGATGTTATCTTTATTTTTTAAATACCTATGGAGTTATACTATGGTAAATTATTTGTTTCAATTTAGAATCTGCCCCATAATTTGATCACCTTTAACATACCTTATTATTTATGTAAAAAAACATTTTTATAATTTTTAAATCTTCTTAATTTATAACTAATAATATCAGTTTTTGGTGGTTGTTTGCGTCCATTTATTAAATTATTTGAATAACTGATGTTCAATTTTAGATGGTGATTATCCACTACAGATAAAAACCTTCCGTGGATTCTGTAACCAACTTGAATGATTGTAGTCACTGTTTAATCAAGGATTTCTAATAATATAATCATCGGATATCTGGACAATAATAAATGGTAGTTGGTTGGTTTTATCATGCTACCAAAATTAAAATGTTTAGAGAATTCAAAGTTAGCATTGCATTTGAATTCTACCCCTCCATAAACTTGCTGATTGATAGGGGAGAAAGGTCAAATTCAAACCTTTTCTGCTTGAAGCATGCTTATTCTCATTCTATACAACAGAGCGACTTCTCCATTTTTTTATTTTACATAATTATTTTGTAAAAATAAATTCTATTATCATAATTGTGATAAATGTTTTACCTACACAAATGTTAGATTATGATAAAAAAAAAATTATGTGTGAGCCAAGTATTCTATGACACATTTCAATATTTCAGATGATAGAGATTGAGTATATCTATAGTATAATTATTAAATTACAAAATATCGCTTTATTAGGGAATGAAATACACAATAGTTGTAACTAATATAACAATTAAAAAAAAAAAAATTATGTTCCATATTAAATTATAATAACATAATTTATATTATGTTAATATTGCATCAATTATTGTGTTATACATAATATCAATCAATAATAGTTTTGTTCAGGATCACATATTTATTTATTTAAATGTATGTATATATTTTTTAAATTAATTTAAATTAAAAGAAAAAACTTTTATAAAATAAAGTAGCCTACAATTAAGAAAATAATTTTCTATTAAATATTTTGAAGCTAAATTATTTTAATTTTATAATATGAGGCTAAAATATAAAATTTGTGTAAAATATGATAGTCACTAGTTGAATATATGATTTAAATAATTCAATTATAGGAAAATATCTATAATTAATTGATTATTTTAATTATTATAAATTAATATCAAAAATCTGATTTCTTAGTCATTTTAGATAATTTTGCTTTACAATTTTATAATAGATGTTTTTACTGTAAAACTTTCTAGTGAACCATACTAAAAGTACAAAAGCATGTTTTTATGCTATATTTTTTTCACTTTTATGTCCTTTTAAAATATGTTTTTATTATAGAAATATTTTACTTTTTAATATATATTAGTTTAGTATATAGTTATTGTACATTTATACTATATTAATAATATATTTCTATTGTAAAAATATTACTATTCACTTAAATAGATACTTATTATTTAAACAATTTTTAATATTATGTTATAAAGGTTTTATTTAAATAATTTAGTGGGCTTTTTGAACAAATATCTGTTAGTTACTTATAAGTTACTATTTGTTAATCAAATATTTGTTTTAATATTATAAACCAATAAATTATGTATAAAAAATTTTAAAATGTAGAAAATTATATACCACATTTCAAATAAAATATACATTATTTATATGTGCATTTTTGCATGTAACTAATGTGATATTTTATAACTAGTATTCATTTTTTGTCTTTTAGTGGTTTCAAATGTAACTGATGAAGAAATGCAAGAACATTATGATAATTTCTTTGAAGATGTTTTCGTAGAATGTGAAGACAAGGTATAAATCTTAGTTTTAAACCTTATAGATTTGAATTCAAAATAAAGATAATTATTTAATAGATTTAAGTTCAAGTCAAAATTAATAAACTTGTTAATGTTCATTTATGTTTTTAGTTTTTACTTGAAATAATTGTATATTCTCAGACATTGAATTTAAACTATTGTACCTATTTTATTAATATGTATGTATTATTATGTTTATTTTTATTTATCATATTAAATTTAATTATTTATAACTTAGTATGGCGAAATCGAAGAAATGAATGTTTGTGACAACTTAGGGGATCATCTTGTTGGCAATGTTTATATTAAGGTAAAATATGTTCATGTATATACCGATTAATATTCATTTTTTATTTGCATATTATTTTTTTGAGCATGATAAACATAGTTAATGGTTTATCACATTATTTATGAATATATTCTTTTTTTTTTTTTTGAAAAATATTAGTTTCGTCGAGAAGAACATGCAGAAGCAGCTGTTAACGATTTAAATAACCGATGGTTTGGTGGACGTCCGGTTTATGCTGAATTGAGCCCTGTAACAGACTTTCGAGAGGCTTGTTGTCGTCAGTATGAAATGGGGTAAGAATAGATACCTTAAATAAAATAGTTAAATTAATTCATGTTTAATGCTATTCAAATATAATTTATAACCAATATTTTGGTATTCATAAAAACTATTTAGAATTTAATAAAGATTGAATAAACTCAAATTAAGTCATAAAAAATTTTCAATTTTTATATTTATTGTAATAGTTAGTAATAAATGTTAGTAAAATATTTATAATTTTTGATTTCTAGAGAGTGTACACGTAGTGGATTTTGCAATTTCATGCACTTGAAGCCAATATCACGAGAATTACGCAAATATCTTTACAGTCGTCGATCACGCAGACATCGTTCACGTAGTCGTTCACGTGACCATGTTGGAACTCGTAGAACCAGATCACCTTCTCCTAGACATGGTCATCATCGTGGAGGTGGTGGTGGTGGTGGTGGTGGCGGAGGTGGACGTAGAGATCGTAGATATTAATTATGTTTTTATTGCAGCAAATAATTTTTCTCGACATTAAACAGTGTACCATAAAACAATAACTTGATACTTTCATGTAATATGTGTTATAATTTTAAAGATAAGGCAAAGTAAAATAATAAGGACTTTATAACCAAAGTAGTTTGTTTATTTCCATCTTTTAATTATAATGGCTGATAATAGTGCATATTTTTTTTTCTGTTTTTATGTGTTACAATTTAATATAATGTCATACATTATTTATTCTAATAGTCATAAATGCCTTGTAGTTTATTACTTTTTTTTCTAAAAATAACTAAATGCTATGTGAACTTTAATTAAATAATACTGACAATAAGAAAAAATCATCTAGGTACATCATTACTAATTTTTTTTAATTATATTTATATTTATGCCAAGTTATTATTTAATATTTGTGTTCAAATAAAAATGCACTTTTAAAATCTTTTAATTATGTAAAAAAATAATGACTTAAACTTAATGTTTTTAATTTTTTTTTATTACTCAGCGAAACATGTGGTATTTATGCAAGTAAAATTTATTCAGTTTTTTACAATATTCCACTTCTTAATATTAGTAATTGTGTTAAAGGTTAAACTAAGTATGTTTATTTGTTAAAATAATAGTATCTAATTTACCAATCTATCGTCATAATATATGATTTAAATTATTTTTTTGATCATTAAAGGGATAATACACAGCTTTTGAATACTATACTTTTAACTTAAAGTGTATTATTTTTTATATCTGAAAATAAAATATCGTAATCAAAACTATAGTAATAATAAGTTGTATAGTTAAATTCTGTAATCCAATCTAATTAAGTTAAGAAGAAAGTACTAAGACTTAAAGTGTAGTTGATATGAGGTAAATATTATATTGTTTAGTTAAATTACTATAATTTTTTATGTTTCAAAACATTGACTGTAATAAATCAGTGGCAGATTTGGAAAGGAGAAATGTGGAAAATAATTACCCTTTTATTACTGTTCCAGCATATTACTCAGATAATAAAATTTAACCAGATTTGGTTTGTATTTTTGGTATTGCAAATTTTCTTTTCTATTATATTGATTATTTAAATCCTCTTTTGTCTCTTAATAGAACCAATCCTCTATTTTAATTATCTATATAAGAGGTCATCAAATTCTTTAAAAATTCAACAAAATATTGTTAAAGTGCTAAAACAAATCTGAACTGAATGTAAATAATACTAAAAAAAAACATTATATTCTCTTGTGTTTTCTCTGTTTTACAAACATACAACTTAGAAAATTGTTTTCCAGTAGAACGTAGAACTTATTGTGTGTTATTAACTTTAATATTAGAGCAAATTTACTAATAAAAATTGAAGAAGTCAAAGCCTTGAGCTTAATTACTTTATCACAGATAACATTTTTACCTTCAATTTTGATAATAGATCAATTCAATCTAATATTAATGTAACACTATATTTGGCTGTTCGGATATTACATCCTATTATTATGACTACCTAGGATTTTGTGTGATAATAATTTATTACGGTTTAAATGTATTTATTAATTTCCATTTTTTGATAAAAAAATACTACTTTAAGAAATACCTTCATGATTAAATTTATTAAACGCTGTCTTAATGATAGTTAATAATGGATGATTCATTTAGAGGTACTTTTTTCAAAAATAAAAAATTCAATTTTATTGGATAATCTTTATTATGATTAAAAATTATTAAATAAATTTATTTTTTAATTATTATGTTATTTAAATACTGGCCGTAACTGCGGTTAACACGGGTCATTATAAAATTCTAATTTTCAATGACCCATCTAAGCATTTCGACTGGTGTCTATTTGGCCAATGGCGTGTGCTTCCAAATAAGTTCCAATTAATTTATCGTAAACGGCTTAGCCTTGTAGACCCTGGACTTCACGTAGCCAAAAAGAAAAAAACCGAGAGATGTGAATGGTGTGACATTACATGATCTAGACGGCCAAATCGTGAAATTAATTGTTCGTCAAATCGTTTTCGCTATATATCAATGGTTTCACGTTCTGTATGGTAAGTAGCGTCATCTTGTTGAAATCAAATGTCTCTGAGATCACGTTCTTCAATTTCAGGCAAATTTTCCGTTATCGTGACGTTTTAACGGGCGCCATTCACAGTTACGTTCTGCCCGGCTTAATTATTGAAGAAATTCAAAATATGGACCGATAATTCTACCAGCGACCAGCCCTTAGATCACGCCAATCTGTTGTTTTTTCTGGATGCAATGGTAGCTCTTAAACTTCTTCGGGTTACTCTTTATCCAAAATGCGACAATTTTGCTTGTTGACATAGCCATTAAGCCAAAAATGGGTCTCATCGCCCAACAACATTTTTGTCGAAAATAGGGTGCTGCTCTCATATGCGGACTATAAATGCATGCGGTCTACTATCATAAATGTAGACCGCATATCGTAGCAGAAAAAAATAACTATTTAATAAATACGTACATCCACTAAGAGATAAAATAAAATTGGTCAGATAAAATGTTCTGTTATATAGGTATGTCATATCTTGTATTTTCCAACTATGTTTATTGTTATTAAAAAATAAGATTGTTGATATAGGTACCTAATCTACCTAAAATCTGCCCAACATAACGAATTTAATAAGTTTGTTAGTTACCTACGTATTGGTTGTCGATTGTGTTGTATTGCGTTTATATCTATTTGTGTCCGTTTTGTTTATCGTGTGCATTATGCAATTTAAAGATTTTTATTTGATTGTCGTAAAGAGTGAAGATAATGCCACTGTGTTTTTAAGGGAGCACGGTTTATTAGATAATGCCGAAGAAACATTGCTATGTCAAATGTGTGGTTCTGGAATGGTTAATACTAGAAAATGAAATCGAGGAGATGACTTTCGTCTTATTCTTCGGTGCAAAAAAAAGATGTCTGACCACGCTAGTACCTATACGACTGGGGAACAAGCTTTTTATTTCGAGGACTTGAACAATAGTTGTAATAGTAATCTCAAATTTACCGAAATTTTAGAATTGGTTTTTCTTGTATCGGATATTTCTTTGAGAACAACAGCCACTTTAACAAGAAGAGGACGAGGGAGAGTTGCCGACTGGTTTAATATGTGTCATGAAGTAGGTATGTTCAAATGTTTTTCACAAACGTCTAAAGATGTTGGGAACTGAGATTGATCCAAAACAGATTAACGAGGCTAGATTTGTCGGAAAGAGAAAATATAATCGAAGTAGGTTATTCAATGGTGATCAACCCTCTTCATCTGAACACAGTGATGTTGAAGTCCAGAACGGTAGAAACCATGGACAAAGAGTAGATGAACTTTGGGTATTTGGTTTAAAAAAAGGTTCTGACTGCCGATATTTTTATGTACCTACTTCGAAGAGACAAAAATACATTACTTCTAATTAGGTATACAGCGAGAGTGTGAAGCTAGCTTTGTTATTTACTCTGATGAGTGGGTGACTTATAGATGTTTAAATGGTAGTGGATATATTCATAAAACTTAAACAGTCAACTATCAGCAAACCTACGTGGTGGATCTTTCGATAGAGGCTCACACTCAAAGCATAGAGAGAAAATGGCTGGATGCAAAGACAAAGCTCATGAAAACAATGAGAGGTACCTACAACTAAAAAATTATGTCAATCCTATTTTAATCATTATTGTTGGAAGGTTGTTTGCAAAGACGAACCCGATATATTTATAACATTTCTGAGGGATATTAAAACAGTTTATCGTTAAAATTATTATTTATTATTTTTTATATTTATTTTTTGACTATGTGATTTTTATCATATCATTATTGAAAGTTTATCATACATTTTTTTAAATTATTTTTTCATTTATTTTATGTAAAAATATTATTATTATTACACTATATTTTTAAATTTAAGCTAATAAACATATATTATAATTATGAAAATATAAACATGGCGTATTACAATATAGGTGTCATGCGATTTACGTCTTACAAGGTAGACCGCGTACGTGAGCAGAAACATGTCGGTAGTCCGCATATGAGAGCAACACCAAAAATAGTGGATTTTCTTTAACGTTTCAAGAGCCCAAACACTGAATTTGTGATGATTTGGAATGTTAACTGGCTTCAATTCTTACGCGAGTTGGATTTTGTATGTTTTTAACCAAGGTCTTTACGTAAAATTTATCAAGCTGTTGAGAACGGTGTTGAATTGATTTAACACGGTCATCACGTACACTTCCAGCTACTGCCGCTGTATCTATTTTTTTCACTATGCGCTGAATGTGACCTATTTGGTTGCATATAATCTAATAATTAAAATTAAGTTTCAAATTGAACAACTGTTTAGCGAATTGTGCGTTCGGTATACCGATTTCGTGGACCCATAAGTTTTCCTAAGCTTTTGAAAAACACTCCCTGTAGAACGCTTATTTTCGTAGTACAGTTGAATTATTTGGGTAGGCTTTGTGCCGGGCTAAATCTTTTCATGACAAAATTTCAATTAACACTCAACAAAAATATTACAACAGTTTAATACGACTTACGTGTTATCTCTCATAAAAATGATTTATTCTGAATGAATCACCCGATATATATATATAAGATAAATAATTTATAAATATAATCAATTTTTATATCTAATTTAAAACATTTTTTCCTTGCATTTTGATTTGAAAAATTTCAATTATGTGATCAATATTTAATTCATTTGTTCGTGCTTTTTTAATGTTTAAAATGCTTATATTTGTAAGAAATTCTTGAGTAATTGAAATTAGTAAATAATTTTTTATTAACTTCAGAAAAGAGTTTTCTGCCGATTTACTTGTAACAGGTAGAGACAAACAAATAAAAAATATGCAGGTATTAAATATTTCACTAAAAAGTAATGACATATACTTTTTATTAATATACTAGGGTCAATAACAATTATTTTATTATTTTAATTTTAGTTTTTATTAGAAAATTTCTTGGTGATAAAACTTGCCTAGATAAATCAGATGAAAAATAAGTATTATAAAATAAAATGAAATCATACCATGACTTAGTTATATTCTTTCCATTGTACTTAATTAAATTTACTGGTTATAAAAGGTCAAATTTTCTTAGAACTGCTTCAAGTCCTTTGAAACGCTCTTGTAGGTAATTGAAATATAGCAGTATTAGTAAGGGGCAAAAAAACAGTGATACGAAAATTTTCTTTGATTGTGTTTAATCGTTTAATTCGTTTATCATTATTAAATAATATCAATACTATCTATTGCTTCTCTATAAATTTCTTGCATTTATTTTCTTTTGTTATTGATATTTGCCACTTTGATCGTAATTCTGTTATTGAAAAAACTAACTCTTCATAAGTATTCCTCATTTTAGATTCTGAACGGAGTGATGAATGTATTGATTTTACAATGTGTGTGTGTTTTTTTTTGTGTCTGTGTAAAGCAAAGTAGTCGAAATAATTCTTCAATTTCAAACTTCGGGGGTGGTTTCCGATAGCAAAGTAAATTAATTCATACATTTTTAAATAAATAATTTATCACTGTACATATTATTATTTTGATCAAAAATGTAAAAAAGGTATTTAAATAGTAATAATAATAATAAAAAAAAAATCTTTAAACTATTTAATTATTTATATGCAATATAAGAGTTAACTATTAACACTGTTGGTATAATGATCAAACATTTTTGCAACTTTAAAGATAAAAAATTCCCAAATTGTAGTATTATTATTTATTGTATAACACAATATAAACATTATTCTATTTTTCAATAAAATAAATAAATAGTAGTACCTAATATAATTTTGATAATTTCATATATTGTCATTCTCTTCAATTTATAAAATTTCATTGTAGTCTACATTCACTGCTAATCTTTTATATTTTAATAAAGTACTAACTTAAAACTTCTACACCAAAATATACTAATATTAATATTTTACATACACAACATTAAAATGTATTTATGCAAATAAATTACGAGTACAAATTAATTAATTTTTGAAAATTTCTACATAAACTATAATTAAGTTAATACTTACCTAAGTTTAAAATTATTATGTTTGATAAATTTTCAATTTATTAGTTAAAAATTAATTAAATAAATAAAAACGGATATAAACAATTTTAATAAAATTAGCTTGATATTTCTTTTCAAATAGAAGTTATTTCTATAAGTTTTAATAATATTATTATTTTTACTTATCTAATTAATTTACATACTATAATTGTTGCTGTCTCCAATGGTAATACACAGTTTTGTTCCTGTAAGTTTAGCTTAAATTTTGTCAAAATTGTAACAAGTCCATTTGGACCAATTTTTGCGATACTATCATGGACAATAATACTAATAATGTACTTATCATTAAATATTAATATATAAAAATACTAAGATTATGACAGTTTTTCAAAACTCGTCATCTGACATTTTGCATGCGTTCGTCCCTAATTTATACACTTTGAGTCGTTAAACATCAATTTTCACATGTTCCTCAACTTTAATTAAGTACAATTTATCACCTTAACATTGGAATTTGCAGTTTTAATTTCCGCTTGAGCTTAAATGCGCAGCTCATTGGTGTCCGCATGGAGTATGCAGCCACACGCTTGCACACTCTGGGGTTGACGCTTATTTTAAGTGCAAAATATGAACATTGAACATATATCCTTTTCTTTCATGAAAATTTGCATTTAACAAATATGAATAAAGTTTAAATTTTAAATTTGTTGAACGTGAGTACTTCAGAGGAAGTTTTCAAATAATAAGTGTCGTGTTTAACCAAGCAACTAGGCTAAATATTTCGAACTAATAATTATATTAAACAATCAGACTGTTGAACATTTATAAATGTAATTATAAATCACCAACAGGGGATAGACTATCATTTTGAAAATTAATTTAAGAGATGACCCTACAATGTAGCTGCACCATAGCCATAAGCGCGAGTAGACTTTGGTCGTAACGGGTATGTGGTTGATAAAATTCACTTCTCGAAAATATAATTAATGACCATGGTACTGTCAATGTTTATTATATCAATTTTTTATCATTGCTTTTTATTGTTTAGCAAATAATAGGGTTTTCAAAATTTTTTTTCTTGTTGAAAATTAAAAACATACATTTTTATAAAGACGTGTTTATTGAAAACAAAAAATGTATAATAATGTCATAATTCTTATTGCATAATTTTAAGTTGTAAACGTAAATTGTACCTACAAAATATGTTATTATTTTTCATTTACCAAAAGTGTTATTTAGCAGAAATTTGTTCACATTATGTCCTAAAAATAGCGTCTGCCTTAAAGTGTGTAAATGGATGGCTGTGAACTCCATGCGCACGTCAATAAGCTGCGCATTTGTGCACAAACGGAAATATAAAGCTGCAAATTTCAGTGTGGGGGTGATAAAATGTACTTGATTAAAATGAGGAATATATTAAAATTTATGTTTCACAATTCAAAGTGTGTCAATCAGAGACGAATGCATGCAAAATTTTGGATGACGAGGTTTGAAAAACTGTCATGGTATTAGAACTTAATAATAAGTATATATTATAAGTATAATTGATATTTCACGGGAAGGTTCTTTTTGCGGCGAATAGTCAGACGGAAAAATATTAAGAATCAAAGCTTAGTATTACAGCTGTGAAAATTATATCATTGGACTCCAGATGACTTACACTATAGTCTCATACTTAAATGGGAATTTTGGTTAGTATTACACGCCGTAATCCTGGGCTAGGTTAGGATTTCAAATAGATAGGATTAAATTGATATCAGGATTATTTTAGATACCAGGATTTTAAATAGATGAGATTACTTTTAGTTCAGAATTTCAATTAGACAGGATAACTTTTATATCAGGACTTCGTACCTAACAGGATTTAAAATAGACAGGATTACTTAGGTATAAAACTAATCCTGCCTATTTGAAATCCTGGTGTGTAAGTAACCCTGTCTAATTTAAATATTTTACGGCAAAACAGTCACGGTGAAGTGTCCTGGATCCGATTTGTTATTATCATCATTAGGCAAGCCCGGATTAGGCGGGCAGGAGGGGCCAAGTCCCCGGGGCCTACGTGTGTTAAGGGCCCATAGTTTTCTTGGTTTAAAATTACATTAAGTGATAATTTGTACTTTTTATAGTACCTAAATTAGTACCTACAAAAATATTTTTATTTTTTTCTTGTTTAAGCTAAAAGTTGATGGGGCCCGTCGACCGTGTTTACCACCAATAATATGGTAAGTGGGGACACATAGCGTCATAGCCAAGTTCGTGTTTGTTGGGAATAGGCATATATTTTGATATTACTGTATTTAAAAATAGAATTGGGAAAATTTGTTTATGTGACTGTCTCGGTCATGGATACTCATAATTCAGATACCTACCGACTAAACCTGTTTACATAAACAAAACTTAATTTTATGTGTAAATATATATATTAATAAAAATATAATATTTTTTTAATATTTTTATCCTCATCAATCATTATTATATTTAAATAATAATGTTTAAATTTGTTTTATTGTATAATTTTATAATTTTAAAGAATTGTTTTTATTGACGGGGGCCCACAACTATGTATTGGCCCCTGGGCCCCTGAAGCTCTTGATCCGGGCTTGTCATTAGGTATATATAATAATAATGTTTCTATAGCCTAAAAGGAACTTTTATTTTTCATTTTGATGAGACATTTTATAATATAAAAAAAAAAGTTCGAAATAGTTCGGTTACCGGTCTATTGTGATGTGATTTAATGGAGGTTTGGGTGTTCTTTGCTCCTCCGGTAGTTGCAGTACTGACAGAGACCCTATGTGTTTCAAAAACTTATCGTAACATACCTACTACAGCTTATGACTATAGTTGTCGATGCTTAAGATCAATTAAAAAAAAGATTATTTTTGGCTGGTACAAAAATATTATAGTTAAGCCAAAGTGTAATTTTGATAAATTTTAAGTACGCATAAATATAATATTTTCAATAAATAAATAAAAACAATTATAATATCATAATCATACATATATATTTTTTTTAACTTAAATAACAATAATATTTTAATCAACTTTTTTTTTTTCAAAGTAATAATATTCATAACAATTTGCCACTTTTTTACCATTTTAGTAAGTATAATTAAATTTTAGGTAAAAAAAAAAAGAAAATAAGATGATAACAATTTTATAACCAAATACAGTTGGTTTATGTACATAAATAATATTTAAAGATGTAGTATAAGTATTAAATTAATATTACATATAAAATATTTATTTATAACATTTTTGTATGAACTGTAATACACACTTTCTCCTTGATTTACTGATAGACATATGTCTGTCCGTTTATCTCCTCTCTGTCGTATATGTACTATTTAATCGTTATTTTATTTAGTTACAACCAACTATTTTAATTTTATATTCACAAAAGAGACAACCAAGATTATTAACATTCAAGTTGACAGCACTTAATGTAAGAAGAAAAATCAAAAAACCATGTTTCCTAAAGAGCATTTTTAATTGTATTTAAATATATACAATAAAATAATTTTATGAAACTAATGTAAAAAAAAATATATACATTTATAAATAAATAGGATTTAACTTAAATACCTACCTAAATATCATTAAATGAACTGTAGGTATAGATGTTAATAATTTTAGTTTATTCGAACATATTAATCTGCTCATCAAGAACTGGAATAAAATAATGTTTAATATGTGTTATTGTGAATTAAAACAAACTTTGGATATTAAGTAGCGATTAGGTTAGGATAAATACATAGAATAAGGTTTATACACATTTAATTAAATTAAAATAATATTTACATAATTTTACAACCAATTTTGTTAAAAATATTCATTATATTTATAGAATTAAAAAAAAAATTTTCACGAAAATTTGCAATACGATTATAATTAGGTAGGTATATAATATACGTATTATATATAATAATAATTATGACGAATCGGTAATACGATTTGTGTCATACTCTTATAGTTTATAATATTTTATTTTTTTCAGCGTACAATATATTATTAAACCTAGTTGAATATTATGAAATACGGTAATTATTAATGTATTACATTTATAATTACATAAGAATATAGGTAGAATATCAACAACATCAGATTATTAAAGTAGTCATAACGGATATTTTTTAGGATTTATATCAGATAGATACACTTTGAGGAAGACATCTATACCTACTAGAAATTGATAAATCGTATAAAGGATACTGTAAAACTTTGTAAACATATGGTAGGTACTTAAGTTGAAAATATTAAAAAGAGCACACTCAGGTGTATCTATGATAAACTTTAGTACTTCACCATTAAAATATAAAAATGATAGAATAGACCAATAACGAACGTCGAACATATCAAAATCGAATCCGTACTTTTTACCTGTTGATAACTACTAGTTAGGTACACATTTGGACCATATTATGGTGTCGATGTACCTTGTAATAAAAATTTGGGGAGTAGGTGCCAGGGTCTTTTCGATTTTGGTATCAGATGGTATACAAACTACGAGACAAATATTATTTCGTACGATGATTTTATAGAAAATGCTGTTGAATATTATTTAGTCTTTAAATTTTAGTCATTATTAAAATAAAAATGTCAAGTCTTTGTTTTTGAAATAGTAAAAATTTTCTAAAATTTTGTTTTTGGCTCATGTTTATGAAAAGTACTGATTATGACAATCATCAAGAATGCTATTTCTTACATGATGATAATTATTAAACAGACTTGAATATTATGTGTTTCAGATTCTTTTGGGAGAACTAAATTTTATATTATCAGTTACATGCGAAATCGAGTGTATGAGTATAATATACTATATACGCGAAATTGATCCTTTGACGTATGCGATAAACTGCACGTGAGCGTAGTTACAAGTTTTAAAGTCTACATAAATCGTCAAGTATTACTGTGAATCGAGATAAAATATATCATCGTCGTTGCATTTTAACGTGTACTACCTTTCTATCTAGGTAGGTACATTGGTAAATTTTATTGTTATCTCGTCTGAAATTTCATGCGTGAAATATTTTCGCTAACAAAAGCGATTAATAATTTGATAAAATACGATACTACGACAAATATCCTTCGATTTACATTTACAGGCGCCGAAACGTACATCGTTCGAAAGTTTTTTGACTATTGAATATAACTTGAGTATAGGTATTACATTTGTCATTTTGATTTATTTTTCACAATTTATAATTTACAGCACCTACGAACACTCTAACACGGTGTTTAGAAGTGTAATTATACTGTTGTAATTATATTACAGATTATAGAGTGACTGCAGAGTTGATATTATACAATATATATTTTATCATACAAATAAGTAGAGATAATTGTAATAATCACCGACGTGCAACAGTGTAAAAAAAAATAAATTCAACCCAATATCGCTAAAAACACGTTGTACGCAGTATAGTAGAACCTCATTAATCCAGACTAATTAGGGGGCTCTTGGTTGACCGGTTTAATGAAAATCCGGATTAAATAAAATGACCAAAATATGTCTATTATAGATTTAAGAATAAAATATACAAGATACATCATATAATTAGGCCCTATAAAACAATTATTTAGTATATACATGTCATATAATCATTATACTGATTTGAAAAACTGCTGATCTAAAGTTGTCTTCCTTTCTCATTAATTCTTTTATTAATTAACTCACACAATTATTATTTCAAATGTTTGTAATATACTGATATGTTTTTATTGTTGTTATCTTTAACTTATTTAATGACAATGTTTAGGTGACCTTTAATTTCACTAAGTTTTGGCTTTGTGTCTGCTTCATTTTAATCATACTCATCCGATTCTGCAGCAATCACGCTTTTAACGATATCCTCTGCTTTTAACCACAACACGATGTTTTTCAGTGTAGCTAAGTTTTCACTACCTTGGCGGAAAGTGTTGTGAAAATAATTTGTTTCTAACTCAGAAATATTAGGCTCAATCTATTTATTTATTAAAAGTTTCTTCCATGAGTTAATAAAATAGTTGATGATTTTGAATCTTTGACAGCAGATGTGAAATTGAATATTATCATGGTTTATTCTACAGTAAGCATGAAAACAGCTTTAAATAGTTTTCCGGATTAAGCGAGTTTCGATGTAACGGGGTTTGGATTATTGAGGTTCTATTGTACTTACAATATATCTATTGGGACACTCTAACATTTATCTACGTATACACATACACACAAACACACACACACACACACACACACAAACGCTCAACAATATAAAAGTATTTCGGAATTTCGTTTTTTGGCGTGTTGGCAAAACAGTCTGTGGTGTAAGTTGTCGATCTTACATCGGCATCCTGAACGATTCGTCGCAAAACAATCTTTATTCTGCGCAGGTAATAATGACTATTGTTGTTGCGCGATCGACGAGCATATACTCGTAAATATAATGAGGCGGCGTGATCGCTGTGCAGGTGTTTTGGACTCTGGTGTCACTGTTTACTGCACGGGACCGGGGAATCAACTGGACAGCACCAGACAGCACAGAGTCAGCAGCCACCAGCCGGCTACGCAGCACACCAGAGGACCCGAATTGCCGTCGTGCACCGCTGCCGGTTGTTCTCCTGTGAACACGCAAAAAACCATTAGTCAACGAGGGATCATATTGTTGTACGTCTTACGACAATATTATATTTTAATAATGTTCATAATTTGCTATAATATTATGCATGGCTATTGAGATTAAACAGAGCCGGATGAGGAAGAGACGACTTGATCGGTATTGAAGTCATTATATATGCCACAAGTATTATATTATATTATACGTGCACATCGTGGATTCTTCGAATAACCATCTATTTAACGGGTATATTTCACTAAGAAAACTCAAAATCTATATTAAACGTTAATATTAGAGTTTAAACATTGCAATTTGAAGAAAAGAATGTTTTCCAGGAAAAGTCACACATTATTTTTGTAAAATATTGTTTAAGAAAGAACTATTATGATAGTGCTTATAAAAAAAAAACGGGTTTTAAACTCCAATATTCTATAATGTACTTATATTAGATGCTAAAATTATGATTTTGAGTGGTTTTCATTTCGCTAAATTATTTATCACATGATTTTGATGGAAGGACAAGGTATATAAATACGCTGTACCTATTACATTTTCTCAAAATAAAATCATAATAATATTCTAAACGTAGATAGATTTACATGAAAATATATACGAATATATTGTCATTGACCACATTCAAGTCGACACAGTAAAAAAAAATATTTATTCTATAAATCACATACGTTATCGATAGGTACGTGAACAGTTTTTTGAATAGCACTTATATTGTCATACCTATCTAATAAAAAATGTTTTGAGCTCAAGTCCACACAGAAGTAACTGCTGTTATAACAATAAACGACAGTTGCATATTGTCCGGTGTCAACAATAGTAACACGTTTATGCCAATAAATAAGTGTCGTCATCATGTTTTGCTTAATATTATAAACAATATATTGTGTTCTATATTCGCTGAAACTTAAACTTGCGGGCGCCTAGGAATTTGGGTCACAATTAACGTTTTTTCAAAAAGTTTTACGGTAATCAAGCAATTATTATTATATATTTATGACAAGTAGGCTCGGTTATAAGGCCACTATATTTAACAATTTTTTATTTGGGTTACTATTAAATTTTAAATTTTAACAAAATAATAAATAATATAATACATCATGTATAAATTGTTATAATACTTGACACTGCAGTGCACTCAAAACTTTATTCGAATTGACTGCGTATCTTATCAAAAGGTAATAAATAATCCAATATTAAATGATATAGAACTAGCAGGGGCTGCCATCAAACTAAATGAATAAGAATAGCCAAAAGCGTAATTTACAAAGATTATAAAACATTGCGATCGTTCAGTTGATTGCAAACTGTGTGATCCACATTTGGTATTATATTTGTGTGATTCGGTATTATACAAATATAATGGAAGTTATAATGCTGAAAGAGGAAAATAAATTATTAATTTTTAATAATTATAAATTTTCTTTTGCTGATAAGAGTCGATGTGGCAAAACTCTTTGGCGGTATGCCAAGAAACATGTCCAGTAAAAATATATACGATTTAAATTAATTTACGAACGGGTACGTATATCAAAACTGTAAATACTTTTTATTGTTATATAGTTATAACTATTTTTAATTTAACAGATTAAACTGTTAATTTTTGTTATCTGATTGCTACTATTTTGTATTTAACACATGAATCAAACTTATAACATAATCACGATGAAGAGGTAAGACAAATTGAGCATTAAGTTATCCGGACTAACCGAGAAAAGAAAAACGACTGAAAATACGAGCACTTTGGTAAGACCATCCAAAATTGTTATACCAGAAATTGAGAACTGCAGCACATCAATAGATACTGATTTACTTTTATTACGCGATAATGTATGACAAGCTTGCCCACAAACACTCTAAATTTTTTGACAACAAATATTAATGAAATATATGACTATTTAAAAACAATTCAAAAAGGAAAACTTTTAATTAATTTACCATATTATTATTTTTTCTACAATTACAAATTTAAATTTCCTATGTTAGAATCTGTTAATGTTGATGGCACTTTTGGATACTGTGTAAAACATTTTTATCAATTATTTTAAATTCGTGGTTATAAAGATAATTCATATTTTCCTTTAGTATTTTGTCTACTTTAAAACAAATAAAAGAATACTTATTTTATACATAAACATTAAAATCAATCATCCTTTATTATTTTAATTATAGCCAACACGAGTTATTGTCGATTTTTGACGTGGACTTCAAGGTGGAATCAATTATATGTTAAATCATATAAAAATTGTAGAATGTAGATTTCACTTTGCGCAATTATGATGGTAGCGAAAAATTCAGGGAGTAAGTTTAAGGAAAAAATATAAAGATAAGACTTCTGAAATAGGTAAATGGTTAGAAAATATATTTAGAATGCCATTTTTATATACAGAAGAAATAATTAACTGCTTTGCAATGGATTTTATAAGTGAAAAGAAGCTTTAGAATAATAAATCAATAACATTTTTCGGTTATATTTTTGACATTTATATTTGTGACAGTGCTATTTTTTCTTCACTTATATTGGCATTACGTTTTGAATCTATAATTTGAACTACAAATGTCATCGAGTTTTTGCATTTGAATTTCAAAAATAACTTTTATATGTTATATCCTATTATTCATAATTTTTTAAATGTTTTATTGGGAGTTCAATCAGAAGTTTATATAAAAGCTAGGAAACGAACTTTAATTAAAAAAAAATATTTTTAATGAAATTGAAAAATAAAAAGGGAAAAAACAGAATTGAATTTATAAAATCAGTATCATAGTAGGTATTTAAAAAAGTAATTTTATTATTATGTATTAAGAAAAAAAATAGTTAATATGCCCGACTTGACTGGTAGGTAACTGTAAACTGGACAATCAAAACAAGTAGATAAGTTTATACGGGTATTTAGGTTTGTATATGACGTATACTTAGTCGTATAATTTCACAGATTATTAAATGAAATACATCATTATCTAAATTTATTCTAATTAAGAAAGTATTAAACGTGTCACTATGTTTATACTATTACAGTACGTGGTTTTTAATCCGAAATAAATGTATTGCTAAAAATTGGTTCCACCTTTATCAGATGGATTAAAAAAATTAAATTTTGTTTTCCAATTAATTTTAGAGAAAAAAGGTTTTACACGCTCGTACGATTAATTTTAAAAACCTGTAAAAAAAAAAACCATCAGCTTATATTATATTAATTTTGCACGGTTCAAACGATTAAACTTTTTTTGGATATTAAATGTAAAAAATAATAATGAATTACGATGGAATTTTTTGTACATGTGCTTACATGTCAAAGTTTTAAATACAAATTGTACGTTATAAAATATACATCTTTCTAATTATTATTGAATGTTAATTTACAATTACATAATTTGAATTAGATATATTGAGAGTATAAACTTAATTTGCAGAACTTTTAAATGTAATTTTAATTCACCATTCATTAATTTAGTATAAGTTTATTGCTGTCTTATAATTACTTTGATTCAAATAATATATATGTCTGTCACTACTCAACGATATCTATAGTATAACATGTAGTTAACATTTATTCTAAACGATACAATGAAGTTTTTGGTTTCGATATAAGTTGATATAAAAAAGAGTATTTTTGAAAGAATGAAAGTTTTATTTACTATAAATTGGACTTAAGTCGTATGGTTTTATACGATCATTAGCTATATAGGTTTAAATATGGATAATACTATGAACATCATTAAGCTTATAAATATAATAATATTTAGGTATGCATGATATACGAGTATACCAATTGTTCATATAATATGTAAAATAAATAAAAATGTTACGCTAACAGTAGATAAAAAAAATAATCGATTTTAGTATTGTATGAAACTAGATGACATGAAATTGAAATTGTCTGCGTGGGTACATATCTTATTTTTATTTTAAAGGGATCATATTATGGGATAAGCATATATGTTAAGGGAAATGGTTTAAATTTAACAAATCTCATCATCTAGATTCGATTAAATGTTCAATCTTCAAAATACTTTAAAATTAATTTTCTGAACTTAGCAAACGACATAGAAATATATAATTATGTTAAAAATTCTAAGAATGTATAAATTAAAATAATTTTATAAAATAAGATAGATTCAGAATTAATAGATAGATACGTAGCGTTTTAATTTTTAATCATGTTTTATACATTTAAGGAGTTTATTTGATTACGAAATGAATCACTGAGTTGGAAGTAAATAATTATCTTGTGTTCATTAAAACATTAAAAAATAAAAAACAATTTCAAAAATTTTAGCTTTTAAAATGAATAATTAATTAAAATCATTTATGCATTTAATTGTGTAATTAAATAAAATCCAACTTGCAGGAATATGTTTCTTTTTAATTTATTGTGGTTTTTTTTTTTATAATTTTCAAAATTATAATATATTTATTCCATCAACTTGACTTTTCATATTCTAGTATAAGAGTAATAATGAACTGTTATGAAAAATGAATTGTCACTAATCTTAACTAGTGGACAATTTTACATACAAATAACATAATATATAGATACTATCAATTATTAACAGTCAAAATACATTTGAATATTTGATTGGTCGTTATGTTTCTCTTCACCAAAAAAGTACAAAGGTAGGTACTTAGCTTGAAAGAAATAAGTGTACGGGTATTTTTTAAATAACATCATACATTATTGATCAAAATTTTAAAATGTCACAATTACAGATGTAATTAAGTTGATAAAATATCTATAAAATTTACCTGAACTTAAAACATCGTTTTGAATTGCTAGAAATTTAAATTAATGCGCGTAGAAATATATTTTTAAAATTGTCTTATTAAAATACATTTAAGATGTAATCCAAAGTTTTCTGTAAGCAATTAAGTACGAATACCATTTCACATTTTAAATAAAATACCACGTACTTTTGTGACAATAATTGTCAGTAGTTAGCGTGACTGTGTAAGTAATAATCACGCAAATAAAACACCGGTACAGTATTTTT